CTCTTAATCCTTTCATTCACAGGACAGGGAAGCTTGCTTTTATCATCTTGATTGCTTTGATTTGTACTCAGCACTCCATACTTCTTCGGTAGAGGATAGCTATTAGGCATTAAACTTGTGCTTTGGAAAAGCAGCGATCATGAGACTACTTGGTTTAAATCTTAAATGTTTGAAGTTAAGACTGATACCAACTATTTTAACAGAGTGAAATGGAGTGTTGAAGCAATGATTTTAATTATTCAATATAAAATATTTTGCCTAAAACACTCAGTCATTAAAGTAAAAGCATTGTTCTGGGCTGGATTCTTCAGATAATTCTGCTTTTGGCAACAAGTAACAGAAAACCAACTTCAATGGGTTCGGACAATAAGGACATTCACTGCCTCGTGTGTCTGGAATTCTAGTTACAGCAGTGTTCAGGGTTCGCCAGACTCGGGTCTCAGCGATCTTATTAATCCATGGTGACTTTCTCTCTCTCTCCTCTGCTGACAAGGCAGCTTCATCTTAAGACTGGTTCCCACATGGATGCAGGGAGGCTGCTAAGATCTGTCTAAGCCCACCACTTCCTTGTCCATTCCCTGAGAGGAGCAAGAGAAGATTCCTCAGGAACCTCTGACTTCAGAGCAATGAAGGACTTCCCAGAAGCCCTTTCCTAGTTGTCCCGAGTTGGGTTGTAGTCTTATTTCTCATTGGCTCAAATTGGGACGCAGGCCCAGTCCCTGATACAGAGGACAGGATTACCTTTAGATAATCAGGCCTCCCTCTGCAGCTGGAGGCCGAGTCAGCTGTCCTGAGAACATGAACTGATGAATTGGAGGGAAATGGTGGTGGGGGGTCTGTTAGGAAAGAGAAAGGGGGAATGATACTTAGTCTGTAGTAGTTTCTCTAGTGCCTAACTGAAACCCATGACTTTAAAAGTGAGTGCTTTTTTTGTTACAAAAAGTAATACAGTTTTAGTTTTTTAGGAGAATATTTATAGCTGAAAAGAAGAAAGTAAAAACCACCATCATCTCATTGCCTCATGAGGACTGTTAATGAAGTGATACAAGTACACTTTTAAACAATAAAATACATACTATATTCTGTGGACTGCAGACAGTTGGGATCAGCTTCCTGGTTCATCTCCACACTGGGTGTCCCTGGAATAAGCCACTTAGCTTACCTATGCCTCAATGTCTTCCTCTCCGTAAGGGGCGTAATAGCAGGATCTGTATAAATTTCTCCAGCACCGACCTTCTGGTTCAGGGGTCAGTAAATTATGGCCTGTAGGCCAGACCCAGCTCACAATCTGTTTTTGTGAATGAAGTATATCAGAAGCCATTTATATATTACCTAGGGCTGCTTTCACACCACAGTGGCAAAGTTGAGCAGGTCTAGCAGAGAACTTATAGCTCACAAAACCAAAAATACTTACTGTCTGGCCCTTTGCAGAAAAATATGGCCAATCTCGGGTTAATCCATAAGACCTTTATTATCTTGTTATAATCTAACACGCTGTAATTCTGTGGTCAGGAAGTGACTGGAGATCTGAGCAGGAAAATGTAACATCCACAGAGCGGGTGTGAAGACAAAGAATGCTCTCTTAATTTTGTCACCAGAAACAGTGCAGAACCCGAGGAACTGAAGAAATCGGCAAGCATGTTTAAATGTCAGACTCTACCTGAATTGCCAGAGACCTTGAAATACCTGGTGTGCGAGTTCCCGTCAACACTATGATGTGACTTCGGGGCCTCGTGAAAGTAAATTTGTTTGGACTCGTACCTAGTAAATAGAACTCACAGCTCCGGGCAGAAAGCAAGAAGACTGGAAAGGAAGTGAAGGAAAGCCAGAGTTAAACTGTAGTGAGAATCGCTTTTGAAAAGATGAGGTAAAGTGTCGCCGTCTCTGTGCCCTGGGTTATTGGTGGTCCATGTGAGGATTTGCGATCCCATCGTCTGGACAGAACAGGAGAACCTGGAACCAGGAACCAGCTCGGCTGCGCTGACCCAAGTCTGAGTTGTGGAAATGCGCTAAGTAAAAGAAAATGATCTGTGGAATAAGCCAGTAGTGATACCTCTGTGGAGAAAAACTGCCCCATAGGAGAGGTCGTTTTAATCCTGAATTTAAAGATCTTTAAAATCCAAATTTATTTAGTCAGATCGTTTTTATAAAACAGTGTTTTAACTAAAAATTCAAGTTTTGTTCAAGTGTATCTTTAATAACATATAAGTGACCATCAACTATAAAGAATTTTTCTAGACTAAAAGCTTTCTATGGCTCAGCGCCTGTGGCTCAAGTGGCTAAGGCACCAGCCACATACACCTGAGCTGGCAGGTTCGAATCCAGCCCAGCCTCGCCAAACAACAATGATGGCTACAACCAAAAAATAAAAAAATAGCCGGGCATTGTGGAGGGTGCCTATAGTCATAGCTACCTGGGAGGCGGAGGCAGGCAGGAGAATTGCTTGAGGCCAGAAGTTGGAGGTTGCTATGACCTGTGATGCCATAGCAGTCTACCCAGGGGGACAGTTTGAGGCTCTGTCTCAAAAAATAAAAATAAAAATAAAAATAAATAAATAAATAAATAAATAAAAGCTTTCTGTATATTCGGCAGTGCTGTGTGGCCAGTAAGGACATGAGATCTGCAATCAATTGTCTGGTTTCAAATCCTGGCCAATCTGCCTTCCTGCTATATTATTCTTAATGTCGTAAGCCTCTGTTTATAAAATGAGTTTAATAAAAGTACTAACTTTATAGAGTTTTGAATGAAAGTATTTCGCCCAGAATCTAATCTTACACACTCCATAGATAACATGTGTTAGCCATTTTAATGTGGTAATATATAGAAACTAATTGTAGAAAACATTTTCATAGCGAACCCTGCAATAATATATTATTGTAATATGCCAAGTTCTTATCTTCCATGTTTGATATTTTTGTCTTGTTTTAGCAAAAGTTAATGTAGATAAAGAAAAATACCTCACTGGGGTCTTAAACTGTAGAAGGTTAGCTGAGGGAATGTCTGAGTTGGTATCATATTACCTAGGATTCAGGTCTCCTTGCTGCTGAAACAGAGACCCAAAAAGTATCGTGACAAAAAGAGAGAAAAGGGTTTAACTCTGTAGGGTGCCCACCCAAAGGCAGGTAGCCCAGCTCAGGCAGGGCAGAGTTCCTTTATCTTGTACGCGTAGCTCCACCTCTCTCTAGTGTGTGGGACCTCACCAACATCTTCTTCTTCCTTCAGGCTATTTCCTTTTTAAAGGATGGGTCCTAGAACTTGAGCACACTACACCCTCAACCACCTCATTACTGAGGTCTAAGGCACAGCGCCACCGTCATTGAACCAGAAGCTAGAAACAGTGACTCCTGCTGGGCAGTGCGGGCCCAGCTGAAATTCCATGGATTTCCTGTCAAGAGGGAGAAGGAAGGAATGGGTGGTAAATTAATTATCAGTCTTCCACACTCCTCACCGCAGAGACTATTGTTTTGACTCTGAGATACTGATTTTAAGACACAATCATCTTATGGACCACTAAGTAGGAAAACTACACCAGCTGCCCCAGTACACAGCTTTCTCATCAGTTCAGGTGTAAGACATGTCCCAATTTAAGAGATTTTTAAAATGTGGAAAGTCAATATTTCTCGGTATAGAAGAAATACAGGATTGGGAAGACTGCCGGGAAAAGTGATTTAAAGGCATTCATTTGGCAGCCTACTTTTGGTGTGTGTGACTTTCCCTGGAGCAAACATAGGCACGAGATGTCGACCCATTGAATTTACCATCTCAAATAGGTGATTGACCAAGTACCATCAGTGTGAGTTTGCTCCATGTCAAATTCTTATGACTACTGGTAGAGAGACTTTTGGTTTGAAATCTTGGGGGAAATTTTGCCTAGATTTCCACTCTTTCTGGGCCAGATCTGAAGTTGAGCATACAGACAGAGGGGCTCCTGTCCTGGTAGTCAGGGTTCTCACTTGAGGACAATGACTAAGGAACAGATATCCCAGGGCACTTGACTTAGGGCATCAGCATTCACTCATTCTGCAAACAGTTGCTGAACACCAGGCAATCTTCTTGGTTCTACAATACAGTTCCTGCCTCCCAAGAGTACCAGAGCCCCTGCAGGGGACAGATAAGTAGAACAGCAGGGAACACCGTTGTTTTGGTGCTGCTAGAGGAGCTGGGAAGGAGAGGCACATGTCATTAGGTCTGCCAAGGTTAAGGAAGACCTCCCAGAGGAGGTGAAATCGAGACTGAGGAGGTCAAAGGGCCTCCAAGCAGCAAGGGCAGATTGTGCAGGTGTGTGGGAGGTGACTCTGTGGCCACTGCAGAGACGACGCTCGGACCCCTTAGGCACACTCGACTGGGAGCAGCCTGTGGCTGGAGTTTCCCTCTGCTTTGATTTCCTTACAGTCCTCGTATGTGGTCGGCCAACATTTGTTGAATTGAATCGAAGAAAAGATCAACTTCTTGGATGGCCAGATAGAGATGAGCTGGATTTTCCTGGATCAAAAGATGTTAGATTCCAATGAATGAGCAAAAGCAAAATAAGATCTTTGATGCCAGATCTTAGACTTGACGTTAGTCTATTGTGTTTGACAAAGCAAACATTGGGGATTTGATATAGAAAGAAACACTTGGCTGGACCCCACTTGCTGTGCCCACTTTTACTCTCATTTTCTCCCAGTTTAATGAACGTGCACACGCGTGTCACTTTAGAACGCACCTTTTGTCCCTGTTACTCAAAACCCTAAGTACCACAGTTACGCCCAAGAACAGATTCTCTGTGCAGCAACCCCGCTTTGTGAATTTGGCCTATTAAAAATGCCAGAGGACAAGCCCTTTCCTTCTCAGGGTTTTAAGATACGATTATGAAGGACCTGTATCATAATCATAATTTCTGTAATGGAAAATAAAATTATTCCATTTTGTAGCTTTGAATCTGGTTAATGATGATTCTCTACTATGTAGGGGGTTTTTTGCTATGTATTGCTACTGAAATCTGCTTTTCTTATACACAGATCACTGTTACAGATGAGGAAGTTAGTAATCCATCCATTTTAGATCTGGTGAGAACTCCCCAAATGAGGAAGTGCACACTTATACTCATGTTTGCTTGGTAAGTTTGACTCATGATGGATTTAAAAGCTTGTGTCAGGCCTTCACTGTGCCCCTTCCTTCAACTCAGGCTGAAGTCATCTCTCACTTTTTCTCTGGTGTCTTCCAATGTTGTTCCAGGTTCACAAGTGCAGTGGTCTACCAAGGGCTCGTCATGCGCCTGGGAATTATAGGAGGCAACCTCTACATAGACTTTTTCATCTCAGGAGTCGTGGAACTGCCAGGAGCTCTCTTGATCTTACTAACCATCGAGCGTGTTGGACGGCGCCTCCCCTTTGCAGCAAGCAATATAGTGGCTGGGGTGGCGTGCCTTGTCACTGCATTCTTACCAGAAGGTAATCTTCCCCTGCATCTGTTTCGCAGCTGAAAAAACTTAAATCAAAATTTAAAAAGTTTAGGGAGCCACTTGTCCATAGGAAGTGTGCGATCAAATCATGATCTTGGCACCACACAAGCTTTTGTGATGTCATTCAATGTTCTGTTTAATCGGTGTAACATCTTTGAAGGTCAATGATTAGTTCTGTAGATGTTTCTGTTTCTCAGTTTTTAGGTTCACTTACAGATGAAATGGCTGTTGTGCTAAATCTAGCCTACAGCGGTCCAGTGCCCTTTTCATTACTGTTCGGGGAGTTACTTCTGTGATATGGTGGGCGTCGTTGAACACGTCTGCTGAGCACCTACAGCACTGCTGGCACCATGCTAGACGCTGAGGCCACCACAGGAAGGAAGATATAGTTCTTAACTTCAGATGGTGCACAACATATTAAGGGACACAGACACTTTAATAGGAATGATTTCACTGTGACAAGTGAACTAATAGAATTATTTACTAGATTTAGAAACAGCAAAAACAAAAATAGGTGGGAGGGGTGATTAATCCATGGGAACTGTCCAGAGAAGCTTCCAGGAAGTAAGAACTAGGCATTCGTGAAGAATGAAAAGTCCCAGATAGTAGGGAAGGAGAGGATGATTTTTTTCCAAAGTAGAGAATAGCTTCACAAGAGTGTGAAGCTCCTGTGCGGTTCAGGAAATAAAGGTTCTCTGCTATCGCTGGAAGCCAGGTTAGGGGCTCTGAGAGATGGTCATTTATCAGAATGAATGATTACCGTAAAGAAGCGATTATGTGTGCAAAGACCCTGTTTCCCAATATGGTCACATTCTGAGATTTCAGGTGGACAAAAATCGGGGCAGACCCTATTGAACCTGCTACACCAAGTCAACATAGTCTAAGAGTAGGGGATCAGTACAATAGCCATCCATCAACACATGTCTTTTTGGGATCCACTAATTGCCAACCACTGAACTGGGGAGGTGAACAAGATAGACATCACTCCTGCCTTCAGGAAATGTACCATTTAAGTAGAGCACTGAAGACTTCACTGTTCTTTCTATTGTACTTTGGTACTTACGGTTTAACTTAAAAACGTAGTCCCCTGAGATGGGGTCTTCTGTTCTCATTGCATGTAAAAAAGAGATGAAATATTCATTGCATATGAAATTAGGGGAACATGGAAAGAATGACTAGTGACTAAAATAGGGGCATCATTTCATGATGTTGTCCTAGATTTTCTCTGGTCCTAGACTAGGATGGTTTTAATGTCTGTTGCATTCAGCATATCCAAGAAAGCTTTAAGACTGTGTGTCCAAGCCAAGGTTAAAGTAACTAGGCAAGTGGGAATCAAGCTATTTTGTAGAAAACACTTTCATATATTGGAAAATTTAAAGCAAAGATTAGACTTTTCTTCTTCCTCTAATTAGCTTTATTTTATAGCTATAATTTCTTGATCAAAGCTTTAGAGTTGTTCTCAGTAAGACCGAAAACTAATTGCTCTTGTTCTAGACACATTTCTGTACTTGGCAGATCTGGCTGATTTTATGGTCATGTGTCAGTTATGACTGACTGGCAAGAATAAATTTCACATCCCTGAAGTGAGTTTTAACAGAGGCTCCTCCCTTGATCTGGCTGTCCTTCCAGTTCAAAGAGGCTTTTAGACTTGATTTTGTGGACTGGTAAATTACCGTTAGAAAGGCTTCTCCTCTCAGCCTTGCTGACCAGGTGGACAGCCCCAGCAGAGAATTTTGATAAACCCTCTGGAGAAACCAGCCCTAAAATTATCTCCCAGAAAACCGTGTAACTTCTGTTCCCTCCACGGAGCCCAACTTTTCGTGGTTCAAAGAATGAAATCCTAGAAAAAGAAATTGTCTTTCTGGCTGTTTCTTCATCTAAGACTCAATGCTTCTGGCCCAAGTTTCTGAACTCCAATTAAAGTCTGGAAAGTAAAGAGCTTTCTTCATGCAAACCTTTCTGCCATCTTTGATTTGAGTTTGCTTAGGATGGCTACAAACCTCGCAACTTTGCTGAGTCTTCTTTCTGAAATGAAAAAGTTGTCTTTTACTCTCATTTCCTTAAGTGAAAAGTCAGCTCATACATTTTAATATACTTATCTCTGTTAGGACTTTTTACTAAATTTTAATTCGAAATCAGGGCAGATGTATTAACATAGACAAACAAATCTGTAAAATAATTTAAAGAGGTTTATTCTTGAGCTGAATGTATGTGACTCACACATGTGAGATCCTGAGAAACTGTGCCCACGGTGGCCAGGCTGCAGTTTGTTTTATACACCCGTGAAGACAGGAGTCACACGTGACACCACACATTAATGCACAGAGGGTATATGCTGGGTTAGTCTGAAAAGGCAGGACATTTTGAAGGGGTGAGAGGTTTATAGGTTACAACTGGATTTAAAAATTCTTTGATTTTTAATTGGCTAAAGAAATGAAGTTTTGTCTAAAGGCTTGGGATATTTTAAGTTAAAATTAGTAAGTGTGTTAATAGGAGATAAGCCACTGGACAGAAATCTAGAGTAATCTGTTCAATAAATTGATGAGCTGTCTGTGTGATTTAAGCTTTATCTTGCTTGGTCTTAGCTCCTGTTAATGACTTAGTGTCTTGGTACTGAGAGTAACTCCAAAAGGGAGAGGGCTTAGTGAGGCGTGTCTGGCTGCCCTTCTCTTTGTGGCTGACAAGCCAAGTTCAAGGTTTTTCTGGGGTCCTCTTGCCCATGATGGAGTCCTTTCCATCAGTGGGGAGGCTTAAGATTTTATTTTAGTTTACAAATGGTATATTCAGGGGAGATTCAGAATTTTGTTTCTTTTAGATCCTGTGTTTCTTTCTTTAGTAATCAAGGTGTATTCCTAATAACCTCTAGCAGCTTGACCAGGTCCCTGTTGAAAGAGGGACATTGTTTCTCTGTGTTCTCATTTAACTATGCAGGAGACAATTTTAGTTTTAATGCTCCTTTTTAAATTGCCTTGTGTTTTTTGTCTTTGCTCCCAAAGTTCAATCCCCAAATGAACTTAGCGTATCATTGGAATGATCATAAGTTTTTGTGTGTGTATGTAATTATTCACATTTTCTAATAAATTATTGTTTTCTTTAGTTCATGAACAGGGCAGTGCCTTGAGGACTTCTCTTTTGTTAACAAATTTCAACACAATCTCTGCCCCGATATAGTTAGATACTGGACTTTACTGCTTGGAAAAGAGTGGGAAATCTTTCAGATTAAGCCTGGCAGGTGGGATACAGACCATGTCTCCCAGAGTGTGGGATGCTTTCTGGACATTTTGCTGAATTGACTGGTTATTTATCTGAGCTAACCACATATGTTTCTCATTGTGGGTGTGTGCTTTAATTTGGTTTCCTGGGTTTTGTTTGATTCTTTTCATCTAATAGTCCTAGCCTCAGTTGTAAACTTAAATTGCCATTGAACTTATCAGGGAGACTCACTGATAAAGCAATCTTGATTTAATAAAAAGAAACCTATGACTTAAGTGCATAACCTGGATAATGAGATTATTTCCAGGGTAGCAAGCAGCCTTCTTCACTGCAGCCGAGAGCAGTGGGAGGTTCCCCATCAGGCTGGGACCCAGAAACTCTGGGCCATGGCTCCCACTTCCCACCCCTGGCAGCACCTGCTCACTGAAGGCCAGGAATGGAATGCATTTCCTCCTGCCCCTCCTTGGCCTTCGTGAAAAAGCAAAGCCTGAATAAAACACATGTTGACAACTGTTCTGTGCCAGGGCAGAGGGTGGCCCAGTGCATCAGCACAACTCAGATCCTCACTCCCTGATGTAATTCTCAGTGTGACAGCTACAGGTGTTGGATGTCCTCAGCCAATTGCAGTCAAAATCCAATAAAGTGAGGCCTGCCGGTAATGACTTGGACTCTTAAACCGTCTTTCTCTGTGCTTACCTTCCTGGGCAATTGTTTTATTTAATGAATTTAAGCTTTTTGTTGTTGTTGTTGACTCTCTGTAGGGAGAACACACAGAAATCTACTGAGTTTGATTCTCTTTTTTCTTCTTCATTCATGCCAACTTTCCCCCTAAACAGTTACCTGTTCAGGAAGGTGCAGTAATGCTCCTTGAAGGCAAGAGGACAACTTAGTGCCATGTAAGCACGCATATGCGTATAGAAGGTACCCATCTGTCCACAGATGAGAGCCGCACATGCTGGGAATCCTCAGCTTTGCTCGGAAGGGCAGATGTGGTCTTGTTCATGTAATCCTATGTTCTTGTACCAAATCTCCTAGGAAAGGATGACATAAATCACACAGCTCTTAAGAAACTGTAGAGCACTGACTCTTTAGAGTTAAAATGCTTAACTCCTTCTGCCATTAAAACACAAAAGAAAAAATCATTTAGCAAGGAATGTTTAGCGTTTCCCACTAGCTACTGTGGGGGAAAGCAGTTTCTTCTTGCAGCCAGAGCAGCCCTAACACAGGCCATTATTCCAATATAGCGGCTGCTCAACAGATGAGTCTTGAATTGTATTTCTGTAATACACCCAGAAAGACATCTAGCACACTAACATGTTAGCTATCATTCTGGTTGCGTTGGCTGTTGCCTAAATTTGGCTATAATATTAGGAGGTTCTATCATTTGTGCTTAAAATTAGTAAATACTTAGGGCTAGGAGAGGCTAAGCAAATGTCTGTCATTTTATAAAATGTTAATAAAATCAGACCCCTAACTTCTCCCTTCCAAACTTTCTGTGTTTGCAGGGATACCATGGTTGAGGACCACAGTTGCTACCCTGGGAAGACTAGGGATAACCATGGCCTTTGAAATTGTGTATTTGGTAAATTCAGAATTGTACCCAACAACATTACGGTAATTCCAAGATTCATTTCATGGTTTCTCCTAAATAATTCTGTAGTCAAATGTTTTAAGTCAACTTAAAAACTATAAAATAGTTTCCTAAATTTGGTAATACATTAGCTCACGCTGAGTTCAGGCAGTAAAGAAGAAATGCTTTGAGTCATAACTGCTTTCTCTGATGCTACCTGCTGCATTTTTGTGATAGAAATATTTCTCATATCAGTATCTCCATACACAGCTACAGTTTTTTTGAAAGACACTAGAGCTGGAACCAGATGACCTCTTAGTGTACTTGCTGAGATTGCAGGTTAGACCTGCGTTCCCAGAGCACCCGCTGCCAGGCTGCGGCCTCTCTCCGACCATGTTACACGCCTTGCATTTCTGAGCAGCCAGTTATTGAAGGACAAAATGAAACAGTGTTCAGGGATTCGTGCAAATCAGCCACCTTTGCTGGGGAAATAGTCTGTGGTACACTGCTGTTGCACAGTGGCCCAGAGTGGCACATACTGTCGCAGAGCAGGCAGGGCCGTGAGCTGCTGGTGGATGGATGCCTCTCACCCACACTGGAGAATTCCTCACAACCCTCACTGGGAAATAGTGTGAAATGGAAATGGTTTGCTCAGAGCACACCAGAGTAGTGGTTTCCAAAGTTAAAAACTAGAGAAATGGGGAATATTGTCACACTTTCTTTGTTATTGGATATCTCCAAATATTTTGATTATCTTGAATTTAATTACTGAAATAGTTTTCATTTGAAACTATTTTTCATTCTACAGAAACTTTGGAGTTTCACTGTGTTCAGGTTTGTGTGATTTGGGGGGAATCATAGCCCCCTTTCTGCTTTTCCGGCTGGCAGCCGTGTGGCTGGAACTACCTCTGATAATCTTTGGTAAGAACTTATTTTTTTTTTTTTTGGTTGCAGCCATCATTGTTGTTTGGCAGGCCTGGGCTGGATTCGAACCTGCCACCTTAGGTGTATGTGGCTGGCACCTTAGCCACTTGAGCCATAGGCACCAAGCCAGAACTTATTTTTTTAACGCTCTTCTTAAGAGCTTTCATCTACATTCTTTACTGTAGTAGACCCTTTTAAGACAACTGTTTTAGTTTGGGGGAGCCCATCTGATTATAGTAAAATTTAAAATCCTGAATGGCTTTAATTTAGTTTGTATTAAAGTGTGTTGATAAACAATGATTTAGCCTTTTTGTTTAGTCTCTGAGTTAAAATCAAACACTATGAAACTCTTTTATGGTATCAGGGAACAGAACAAGAAATTTTCAGGGGACCTAGTTGGATCTTCAGTATGTTTAAAAAGAAGTCTAAGATAATTGCATTTTTAAATGTTTTCTATCTATCCATATCGTATCTTCATTTGGTCTGATGACAGAAGTGCGATGCCGAGGGAACAGGGAACACACAGCCGCTCCCACGCTCCTTGACCCCTTCCCGTCCCTCCAGTTCACATCCTTCCTCCTGCTTCCAGCAGGCTGGGTAGAACCAGGGAAGGGTAGAGGCAGAGACCAGGAGGGACCTCAAGGCAATTGAGTGCCAAGTTCCTCCCAGGCTGTTGCTGTCCTGCGGGAACGGCAGCCCAGGAATTTTGGCTCTAGAGAAAAAAAAGGGCGGTGACTGGAGGATGATATGTGGTTGATAGGAGGCTTGTTAAAGTGAAAATCTGACCGAATTTGGAAGCTTTTACCAATGGGTAAAGATATTGATGAAATGAACTTAATTACTGTGTGAGGAACCCAAAAAGACAGGGCAAGGTGAGGATTCGCCCTTGGGCAGAAGCAGGGACAAGTCTTGTATTGTTCTGTGAAGGAGGACTGGGAGGAGGGAGGGAGTGTCAGTAGGTGACCCTGTTGGTGAATGGAAGTGGGGGTTCTTCTCTGGCAGTTCCCAGCTTCCTGTGACACCAGAGGTGTGGCCTGTGTGTTGGGCACTGAGTAGGTGCTCAGTAAACATTGGTTAAATGTGGGAGGGAACAAATCCGCGCCAGGAGCACGGGCGCCATGGTGGTTAGTGTGCAGGTGTAGGAAGGCCAAGGACACTGAGGTCCTGGCAAGGAAACTGGGAGTTGGCTAGTTCCTCAGAAGTTCTCCCAACCCACGGGCCCTCCAGGTGAGCACTGTGGCAGCTGCCAGCAGGCGGGTGGCAGCGGGGCCAGGCCGTGTGTTCCTGGGCAATAACACCTGTCCCCTGTTCCGTAGGTGTCCTGGCTTCTCTCTGTGGTGGCCTCGTGATGCTCCTGCCTGAAACCAAGGGTATTGCTTTGCCAGAAACCGTGGATGATGTAGAGAAGCTGGGCAGGTATTATACCAAATTCCATGTGTCCTATGGAAAAGCAGCATTTCAAAACATCAGGGAGAGGGTGATGCTGAGAACACTGAATGTCCATGGGGGGAAAATGACATAAGCTCCCACCTCATATCCTAAGCAAAAACTTCAAAGGTTACTGTAAAAAAAAAAAAAAAGCTAGAAAAGGATTGTGTTATTTATTTATTTAATTTATTTATTTATTTTGGCCATTCTTGGCCGGGGCTGGGTTTGAACCCACCACCTCCAGCATATGGGGTGGGTGCCCTACTCCTTTGAGCCACAGGCGCTGCCCAATCTGTGTTATTTTTAAAACATGGTTGTAAAGACAGAAGCATTTTTCTGCCAGGAGTTAAGACTCAGAAGTGATCTAGAGAAAATGAACCGATAAAGTGACAAAGTAGGAGTCACTGGGGTGTGTGTCAGGAGGGGCTGACCAAGGAGACAATGAGCTCATGATGTGGATGACACTAAGAGAGGACAGAAGTCGGGTCGAACCAAGAAGCCTGGGGATTGTCTCAAGATTGGTTACAAAATGAAATGGCGCTGAACAATGTGGTATAATATGTATTAAAAAATAAAATCAGTGGAAGGATAGATGACAGGCAGACGGTAGCTTAGATAGAGTGAGAGAGATGACAGATACGTAGTTAATAGATGATAGCAGGTAACAGGTGATAGCTAGGTGGTAGATGGATAGATAAGTGAGAGACAGTACATGGTTGACAGATGAGTGATAGAAGAAGGATCACAGAGAATGGATAGCTGGATGATAGGTAGGTAGGTAGATAGATTAAACAACAGGTAGATAACCGAGAGGGAGGTGATTGATGGACAGATAGAGAATAGAGATAGCAGAGAGAGAAACTGAGTTCCAGAGGAGGGTCTGAATAGTATGCAAGGAAAGTTAACATCGACCAATATATTAACATAAGGAGTTATGTCAACAGAAATTCATACTATGTACATTCTTTCTAATGTTCTATTTGAAATTTTTTCATAATGAAAAGAGACAATGAATATGAGAGTGTATTGTAAAACGTACAAAATAATAATATACACCCTCTGGGGACAGAAATGGGTTAGGAAGAGGGGTGAAGAGGGAGGGCCATCGCTTTTATGTCTAGAGATTTCTGTGTTTGAAATTATTTTAAAAATTATTAGTGTAATTTAAAAAATAAGAGTTAATTTTAAAAGTAAAAATCAATCTTAATAATGACCTAGAAATTAAGAGTAGGGACCTCTACATTAAAGTATCTGTTTTGAAATAAAAATTTATGAAATTTTGGTAACCTCATGGTGCTTTTTTTCCTTCACTTGTAGTTTGGGGAAAGGGTAGGAGCTGACTGTTTTAAGCCCCTGTGGGACTGATGGTTTCCCATACATTGTTTCATTTAATACTCAAAACAATTTTGTGCAATGAAAATGTTTATCCTTACTTGTTTATAAGTAGGAAGTCAGGGAGGGTCACATCTTTTCAATGCTAGCACTGGCACTGGGTCGGCATTGCCCGATGTGGGAGTGTGAGTCCCTTATTTTGTGTAGTTGGATTATATGATAGATCCTATTTATGAATTTTTTTGAATAGTGAGTATCCCTCTCGTGGGGCTGGAAATTTCTCTCTCAGATCCTCTTTTAATCAGGTGCTGTCTTCCTTTCCAGAGGTAGGCTAAGAGCCTCATAAGTATTTCACCAGACCTTTCCAACTTTGCAAGGTACAGCTATTTACACAGTGATTTTATCGTCCTGTTTTTGATGCTATTTTTAAAGATAAGATTAATTCATTATCCCCAGAACTCTCATAAGAAAGGCTTACTGGTATACTCAAAACAACGTCACCATCTCACATCCTGTTGATTGACCACTAACAGGCCAGGCCAGAGGACAGGTGGACATTTGCTTCCTGAAATAACTCAAAGGCATTTGTGTGCTTGTTTGGAAATAAATTGATGGATGGTGGCTTATTCCTCACCCAAAGCTTTACCAGCATTTCACCCGAGAACATGCTACCTTAGTGTGGGGAGAGGTGAGGGTTCCTCTTTAAGACACTGCCCTTTTGTAAAACAAAAGTCAGTTAATAAGAGCCCTTTTGAGTAGTCTAACCCTGTAGGGCCTTACTCCTTCCAGAAAGGAGAGACACTGTGCTGAGTGTGTCATCACAGGTAGTTGCTTGGTTTGTATCAGGATATGGGGACTGGGTCAGGGTCGGGGGAGGTCCACATCGCCAGCCCAGGGGCTACGGTGCTAGTAAACCAGGAGAAAGGAAAGTATTCAAGCAAGTAAATGAAGCAAGGAAAATGGCGAGGATGGAAATGGGAATATCTTAACATAAGAGATCCCGACTTCAAGGATAACTTTTCTTGGACTTCTGTGCCCTCAAGGAGGACAGTGTTCTTGCTAAGATTATACATAGGGCAGTGTTTTCAACCTGCTTTATCTCATTGCATGCTTGAACCAATAGTTAAACATCCACGGCACACTTAATTATATTGATCAAAAAAAGAAGAGGGGAAAAAAAGAATATACTTGCTGTGCTTTGAACTTCTTTCAAAAATAATTTAATGAATGATCTTTAAAAATTATCACGGCACGCCTAAGATCCTCTCATGGCACAATAGTGTACCACGGCGCACCTGTTGAAAAATCACTACTACAGGGTCAAACGTGGGGTGGGGTCTAGTGCTGACTGTGGGCAACCTGAACCCGTGACTGTGCCATCAGGGCTCCAAGACGCCCAGCGCTCAGTGGTGAGCCTCATCTCATCTCAGTTGCTGCCCTGGTTCCACACCAGTGTCCTAACAAGAGGAATTGCATTTTCCTTTGATTCTACTCTGCTGATGGCTGCATGTTTAAATAGTGAAAGTGAAGCGTTCATTCCTTATCCCCAAACCATTCAGGGGTCAGATTTTCAAACATATCAGGAAAAAATGGAGGAAGAGCCAGTCATCTGAGATCAAGGCTCTTCCGCCAGTTGAGTCGTAGTCGTATTAAAATGAAACAACTGGGAGAGATGGTTCCTGTTTTGTTTGTTTTACCTTTCTGTTTTGTCTTTTTGTTGTAGAGGGGCCTCTAAATGGCAAGCAGGGAAAATTAATATCTGATTAGTATGCAAACTTAAAGATTATACCAACAAAAGTCATTTTTCAAAATAAAAAGTGGGTAAATTAATTCATTATTCCTAGTCGCTACCTACTTAAAAAAAATCCTAGTAGAGTATGATTTACAGCACTACAAATTAATCATATTAATAACAATCCATGATTACTTAGTCTGGGAAAAAACTACACATTAAAACCTATTAGCATTTTCTCTTCTAAAATAAATTATTGTATCATTTCTGCTATTTTGGTTCGCGTCAACAGCTCATTTCCAAACACATGTTATTTAATAGACATTCACAAAGAGCTTACATGCTAACTTGCTATCTAACCCCTCACTGGGGTCTGAAAGGAGGTCAGAAGTGAGGCTGGAGACACTTATTCTCCCTGCCTTTGAGGTGAGTTTTCCTGAGAAGTTACTCATGAGAGTATTTGATCAAAACCAGCTATGCTATTAAGTAATAGCAGACTTTCTTCTGACTAGTTGTGTAATCTTTCATGAAGACTTTATCTTTTCTCTTTTTTTTTTTCTTTAGAGCATATTCCTATAAATGTGGCAGGAAAAAGAAAACCCAGGTTTCCAACTCTCACCTGTGAGGCCCCTGCCAAAGATGGAAGGAGGCTGCTCAGGGCAGTCCTCCCTGCAAAGCTGTGCCTGATGCAGGCGTGCGTGTCCCCTGCAGCCACGTGAGGCCATGCTGCTCCGACTGTGTTTAATACGGTATAAAGACATTCAAGCCACCCAGAGTATTTTTACATAGTGTTGATGAGTTAGGATTGATAATGCTGCTGACGTTTCTGGGAACACAGAAGACGTGGCTGGTTTGACACAGAGCCTGGTGGGCACAGTCCTTTCTGGAGCCTTTCTTGTGGTGGAGCAGTGGCCTCTGACCCATTCTGTTAAAGAAAGATGAGAGAACAACTTCCCCCCTCACCCCGAATTCTCATGAAAATTCCATCAAGAATGCAGGATATACAAACCAAGGATTTGGGATAAATGTACAGAAATCTGCTCATCGAGCCAGGAGTGCTGGCAGGCACCTGTAGTCCCAGCTACTTGGGAGGCTGAGGCTGGAGGATCGCTTGAGCCCAAGAGTTTGGGGCTACAGTGAGCTGTGATTGTGCCATTATGATCGTTCCAGCCTGGACTATAGAAGGGGACCCTGACTCTAAATTAATTAACTCATTAATTATTTTTTAAAAAGCGTTCCTCAAATCTGAACAAATGACTGAGCATTCTGAAGATTCTAAGGAGGATGAAGATTTGGAAATCTGGTTAACAGAGACTGAACTTCAGGAGCATGGGCCCCAGGCATGCTGGGCCTGTGTGTTTTCTGCCTGCCTGGAGTCCCACTAGCCTGCAGAACTGACAGCTCAATCATCCTTCTCAACCATTTCCTCTGTAGCATCTGGGGTTCCAGGCATGGTTTAGACTTCAGTCCCTCAGTAAGAACAAATCTGCTGTGCAATTTGAGGATTTGGTTCTGTTATTTATAAAATTGGGTTTTGATCCTGAGATTACCACATATCGGGATATTTTTGGTACTCCCCTTAGTAGGCACCTTAGAGACACAAGAATCCATTCTTTACTGAGCAAACCTGTGGATCACGACTTCATAGGTCTTAGGGTTTTACAAGTAAAGGCATAATTATCTCACGTTCTGAATTCAGTTCTGATGGCCCCTGTGGTCAAGAGTGAACATGTGAACAGTTCTCATTCAATCTTAGCACTTCTGTCTCTGCAAAAAGCTTACATTTTAATTTAAACAAAAGGCCAATTATATCCATGCTTAAAAGGATTAGCAGCAGCTTTCCAGGTGAATTTACAGTTACTAATAAGGGATTTGATCTTTCTTTTTTGTTTTCAAGACTTTTGAAATGTGTATATTTGTAATATTTTCAGATTCGGTATATATTATATGCTGAATTTTTCGATGAAATACTTTGTAAGGACAGGAAAAATGGGTACCAAAGGGAAACCACGCCCATGAGAAAGAACATGTCTGTATGGAAAACAGATGACAATATGTATGATGTGTGTCCTAATTGTAAAGCAAGCTTCTTAATCCTCAGCACACATCAGAATTGAGTCTGAATGTTTTATCTGTCAATGAAATAAACACAGTTCTTTGAGGATTTATGGACGTGTTCACCATTTATTCATAGACATTCGCATTTTTGCTTCTCTTTGCATTTTTGGCTGTAATACTATCCCCTTTGAATTGTGAGTTGATATTTTTGTGTGGTAACAATAAAAACTTTTAAATTGTAAAAAGAATACTCATCACATCTCTTCCTTCTAAACTAAGCATGTGTTTCTGCAAAACATGTGTTTCTCACGTGATAGTATCTGCTACGTGCTGATTCCAGACATGCAGCCAGTTAGCAAGGAAGGTGAGTGGTCCCCCTTCAAGGTCTGTTCATTGTTCCTTTGCAGGCTCTTGACACTGATCTAGACTCAGCTGTGACAGAGAATAACATTTGAACTCTTAGCTGGTCTTGGATTACACTTCACCTGCCCAGTTTACTCCATGATATACAGTGTTCTGCTCTGTGTCTCCTGGGCTGGGCTAAGTCAAGTAGTCAGTCGCAGATTTCATTCTCAATAACAGGACTTATTCTCCTGTCTCCCTATACATGTTGCAGCCTTGAAAACATTTGTCTCAGTGCCAGGAATAACGACCAGAGAAATGTGTGTCAAGCCGTCATGAGTTGACAAGGACAATGCACGGATGACAGGCAGGCCTTCCCGCCCCCTCTCTGCGTTCTCACAGCCTTCTCGGCCCTTTCTGCAGCTTCTCCTTATGAAAAGGAGCGACGTCACTACAGTCTGTTCATTTAAAATGTGCAGGATGAATGGAGAACGTGAACAGGTTGAAAAGCAAAAGCCAAATTAACTCAAAGTAAGTACCGAGTTTATTTTTAACAAATGTTAGAGCTACATTGTCTTATAATTCCAGGGCCCAGCAGTCCGGGGACAGGAAACATTTATACAGAACAATACAAAAAATGCTGAGGTTTGGCAGTCGATGTTAGCTGGGGACACTGTCGCTGTGGGATTACTGTTAATTAAGTTCCCTACCCACATCCCAGCTTCTAGGTAAGTTGATGTTTCACTCCATCCTCCATCCAATTAATTATTTCTCATGACGTTTTCAATCCAAGTAACAAACCTTGAGACACGAACATAGACACCAGGCTTATTGGGGCGTGCACAGCCCAGCCCCCAAGAAGTGACTCCTTGTAAAATGTATTTGTCCTTCTCAAAGCAAACCAAAGGCCCTCCACTGTCACCCTACAAAGGGAATGAAAAACCCATGTGAGATTAAGCTGCTATCCTTTCATTACAGAAATCAGAAAGGAACTTATTAATGTATTACTTGAGGTCTGCAGTGTTTAAGTACTTAGCAAAGTATAGTCAGCAAAACACCACTGTTCAGTGTTCCCTGGGAAAAAATAGCCCTCATGAGTCCTGCACTCATCGTCCTCTGCCTTGGGTTTCCTTTATACAGAGCAAGACTGGGCACAGTTATACAGGGGGTGCGGTTGGTCCTGTCCTGTCTCCTCCACCTGCTTCCCTCCTGGAAAAGCCACCACCCTAGTCCTTAGCCAACCACACTCCAGGGACCTGTGTGGCCTATAGTAGTCATGGCACTTACCATTCCTTTGCCACCAATCTGGACCTCAAGGAGTCACCTTCAATGACCTGAATAAGCATTTAGGGACAGAGGTAGGGGGTTTCTGCGTAATGCTTAGTCTTCAGGTGAGAAAAGCTTCCTGAACTTGCCACTCTGGGGTAGAAATGTCTAAAGGTCCATGACAGGACCTGCCTGAGAGTAACCATGGTCTCCACGGCCTTTCCTTACCTGGCAGCTGTCAGTGCCCCCTGCCAGATGCCCGGCGCAGAGCTCCGTGGATTTGACCCGTCCATTCAGATACTCGTAGCGGTTGCACACCTTATTTTCAATCACAGGGAGCTGTGCTTCCTTGAGCAGGCCGGCCCCAAAGGTACCTGTGTTTAAAAGATGAAAGGAATGTTACTGGACCCAAATCACAGTCTCGAGCAAACCTCTGTGCTGAGCAGCAACCACAGACCCTCACTATCCATGAGGTGGGAAGCACAACGCCCGGTGCCCAGTGCCGTTAGAACTCCTTCTAAACATCATAGAAGATTTTATGTTCCCATGACCTGGACTCCATTGGGGTAAGTTTGCTGTTGCTACTTGTTTACTTTTTGCTTTTCTTTTAAAATTCTAAAAAACTTTTATTTATAAGGAGAGTTTAATAGATCTAATTGCTATTATTTGCAAATACTCCTTTTCAGGCTGTTTATATGCTGCTTTTATGGCCTGTATCACACTGCACAGTTTCATATCCTGATTCTTTTTAGTCAACAAGGACTTTTCCCATCACACTACAGTCATCACACTTTCAAGGGAAGTGACTGCTTCATGGGTGTTTCCTTTCGGAGTGAGGAAGATGTTCTGGAAATATGGTGACGGTTGCACAACATCGTGACTGTGCTAACTGCCACTCAGCGGTACCCTTCAAAATGGTTAAAATAATTTATGTTGTGCGTATTTTGTTGCAATAGAAGGAATAGCTGTCATTTACTGAGATTTAATTTTTTCAGACATAAGCTCATCGTGTGGTGTCCTCAATCCTCACAACAGTCTGAGGAAATAGGCGCCTTTCTCCCTCCTATTCTGCATTTAAGGAAACTCAGAGAAGTGGTGGTTGACCTGGACCTGGGTCTCGGAAGGCCCTGGCCAGGCGCGTCTCCACCTGCTCCTCAGCCCTTGCTCCTGTTTCTCATGGTCCACGGCTTTGCTCACACCATTTATTCTAGTCCACAGCATCATCTTAAGTCTAAGTTCCCAGAAATCATATAGGTATATTGATGGCTCCTAATAACATTGCCAAATTATTTTCTAAAAGGGTGTGACAGTGTAAAATGTCACGAGGAAAAAAGTTGCATCACCTCACCCTTAATAGTATTCAATTTTTTAAATATTACCTCATAGAGTAGGTGGAAATTGTCCTGATCTGTTTTCTAATTTACATTTCTTTGGCCATTAGGGAGAGCCAGCCTTCTCCTGTGTGCTCATTTTATTAGTTATGTGTATTTCTTCTTTTGTGAAAAACTGCTTTATTTCCTTTGTCAAATTGAAATAGAACATCTGCAGAATGGCCAGAGGAAATGCTGTTGTTCCAGAGGGACACACCCAGGGATGTCTCAGCGTCCCCACAAACGACCCAGTCTTCAATTTCGCAAGCCCAGCTTTCACTGAGTTGTGTACACATCTTCGCTTTGCTAGCATGGCACAGCCAAGAAACCAGACATTATATCTCCCCACTAAAAACTCTGGACTCTGAGCAAACCTAGATTATTGTCTTGGGTTCAGAAAACTGAACCCTCAATCTGGGGTTTTTAAGAGCTAGGAAGGCTGGTGAGCGTCTTGCTGAGAGCTGCACTCAGCTCTGGCTGGGCAGGAGCTCCTGGCTGTGCCCTGGCAGGGTCTGCCTCATTTGAGCTGAGTAGATGTGTGGAGGAAGACCCTTCTCAAAATATTTTGTGGAAAATTAATTTAGTCAAGCCTTGGCTCTAGTACGCGTTCTCTGAGTAAGACGGAGATCCCAACACTAGTGATATAGCCACCCTGCGTTGACAGGAAGTCAACACGGGCTGGGGTGGTGCTGCCATCCAGTGCCCAAAGCAGAGATGGCATGCCAAGGGCTGAGGTGGAGGAGATCTCAGGACCAAATTGAGGGGCTGCAAGGAGGGGCTGACTGGAAGAGCCTGTTGGCCTCAGCACGCACTTTGTGTTTGAAATACCCGAGTCTGGAGATGTGAAGCTGAGAGAGGGAGAACTTTGACCTCACACTGAGGGATGAGAACACTGATAGATCTGATGTCGTTATTGATGTGTAGGAAGTTAGTAAATAGGCCTGACTTAGCTTTTGTGACTCCTCATGGTCCACCTAACATCTGAGAATCATCTTCTTAGTAGACCAGCAGAGACAGGGAGACCTGTGCAGGATGGTGGTTAGAGATGGAGGGATGGGAGAAACAATAAATGGACTCTGGGGCCAGGCAGGCCTGGGTCACAAGAGGGCTCAGCTATCCTGTGGTCCCGTCAGGTTTATTGATGACGATGGTAATGGCGGTGATGATGATGGTTTTGATAATGGTAAGGATGGTGATGGTGATTGTGGTGATGGTGGTGGTGGTAATGACAATGGCAGTACTGAGCCAATGACTGATTCAGGAGTTAGGCACATGACCCACCTCCCACCTCTCAGAGCTGGGCAGACTATTGCTTGCACTGTAGGGGAAGTGGCCTTCCTCACTGCTCCTTGAACCAGAACCAGAACCAGAACCAGAGCCACAGTAGCATCTGCAGCCATGGATGGTGAACCTTGGTGCCCAAGAATGGTGCCAACATGTGGTTAGAGGGGCCCAGAGACCCTGCATCAATATGTGAGCCTACAGACTTTTCAACTCACTAAGAATTTCCCCACCTTTTGCTACTCAGCCCTACTATGAAACTAATTTATAACTTTCATAGGAAAGCTATAACCCAATTATAGCCCAAGAATATGGGGAAAGGAGAGCGGAAGGGGAGAGGAGGGGGGAGAATGGGTGGAGGGAGGGTGATTGGCGGGACCACACCTATGGTCCACCTTACAAGGGTACATGTGAATCTTTCTAAATGGAGAATATAAATGTCTTAACACATCGCTTCTCGGCCTTTTGGCTAAGATCAAGTGTATAAATGTCTTAACACAATAGCTAAGAAAATGACATGAATGCTATGTTAAGCAGTTCAATGAAAATATTTCAAATTGTATATAAATACAACATACTATACCCCATGACTGTATTAATGTACACAGCTATGATTCAATAAAAAAAAAATTGAGTTGAATTTTCTGTCACTTGTAAGAAAGAATGGTATTGGACACAACTATGTCCCACATCATGGAAAGAGCTACTGGTTCAGGGGTGATCAGCACATGCCCAAGGCTTTGTATACTTTCTTTTACTTTACCCCATGATGGTCCTGGACCCTGCATTTCAGCTGAGGAAACAATCACTGGGTTTTGTAACTTTCTAAGTCCCCGTGGTAAGTAAGTGGGACTGAGGGCTCCCCTTCAGGTCTGTCTGACCCCATGACCCCAATTTCTGCTGTACAACCTACACCATCTCTGAGTCTCAGATTTCTGATTTATAAAACAAGAACACTAATATCTAACTCATAGGAGTTTGTAGCATTTAAATGTTTGAAAATGCAAAATGCTGGGAACAGTCACAAATCCACAGGTGACTCTTCATTGGCTGAGTTTCCCTCTGCTTGACCTCAATGCCCCCAGGCTCAGAGGTGCAGAAAGGGGGAGCAGGAAGCCAAGGAGGAGAGGCTCTAAAAATAGCGGAAAAGTGCAGAGAATGGGAGGCCAACTTTGAAATTATCTAGACCAAGGGGTTTAAATCTTTTTTAAAGCCAAAACCCTGTCTTAACATGAAAGCTTATGCAAAAAGCTCACATGGAAACACAATCTGAAAGCACTGGTTTTACAGATGTGGGATTAGAGCCAAATGGAACAGAGAGGTAAAGTGACCTGTCCGGGTCTGTCCAGCTACTGGCAGAGTCAGAACTATTTTCAGAGTCCCAGACTCCCATTCCAGACTCTCACCAACGCCTCTGAGAAAGTGAGGTGGGGATCCTGAAACAGTTTCAGCATCCCTAACACAAGCGGGCGAGGCTGATGAATATGATTATTATCAGGGCTCTGCGAGGAGAAGAAGGAGCTCCCCAAAGATAGTTCCGTTGCTGACGGCCGACCCTGTGTGAATGTTTCCTCTCTTGCCCGCCCTTGTCCTATCAACCAATATCAAATGCCACCCTGAAGTGGGGACACAGGCCTGTCTTGCTTTGCCCCAGCTGTTGTCTTTTCCCTAACAGCCTTCCCACAAACTTAGAGGTGGGGGCATTGGGGAGGAAGACTGGTTTACAACTCTTTTTTTTTGAGACAGAGCCTCAAGCTGTTCCCCTGGGTAGAGTGCTGTGGCATCACAGCTCACAGAAACCTCCAACTCCTGGGCTCAAGCGAGTCTCCTGCCTCAGCCTCCCAAGCAGCTGGGATCACAGGCGCCCGCCACAATGCCCGGCTATTTTTTAGTTGCCGCCGTCATTGTTGTTTGGCGAGCCCAGGCTGGATTCGAACCTGCCACCTTAGGTGTATGTAGCTGGTGCCTTAGCCACTTGAACCACAGGCGCCAAGCCTACAACTCTTGTTGTTATTGTTTTATGCCATATTTTGAAACCCAGTATGGCTAACTTCATGTGAAACATGATGTAACATCCTTACCTTAAGGGCTGTGTCCAACCTGCTTACCTGGGAAGCAATATTAACATTGAAGAGATATAAAGAAAGGGTCCCCTCCTCTTGCCCACGTCCATGATGACTGATTAGGAGGACACAGGCAGGTGGCCAGACAGAATCAGGAGATGGGGAGCACATTCACTGATAGGAATTTCTACAGTCTTCTCCTAAATCCTCATTTTGTCGCACAGGCTATATTTGTTATCCTGAGGAATTTATCTCACCTTGGGTTTCTCCCCAGCCAGTGATGTAACATACTGTCCGATCAGCAACCACATAATTTGGGGTTGGCAGACAAGCTGGGATTACTTTGTCTGTGATGACTGCAGGACTGAAAGAGAAACATCGTCAGTTCCGCGTACTGCCCCGCCTGGAGCCTTCTCACCCACAACCTGACACTACCTGCCTCAGAGCCCCTGAGTCCCTGGGTGGTATCATCCTGCCTCACTGACACAGAACAATGGAGAAGACAAAGTCTCATCCTCACATCAGCCTCTGGTCACCTATGGACTAAATGGACATGAGGTTCCATTTCTAAGGCGTCAGTTGTATACAAGCAACTGCTGGTGGTCGTCGCCTGTCAGCAGGGATGACAAGATTCAGTTTTCATGTACAACCTGTGCGCTACTAGAATTTTACACTCGGTGCATCCTTCTGAACTAACATGAGAGGGCGCCGACCAGCCGGTGGAGCATCCAGCTGAAACACCATCCCGAGGCTACGGTTGTGAGGGAGCAAAGTGCTCCCCACTTTGGATCCCAGGTGCCCCTGGGGCAAACACAGGTAATTGGCGACAGTAACTGTGACAACAGCACAGTTATAAGAATCCAGTAAAATGCCAGAGATCAAATGAAAGAGGACTGGAAATAAGCACCATGCACGGCCACGTGGTGGTGTTTTCAGAGAACACTCCCTGCCTTGGTGTGGCAGTGACTCTTAGACGTTGGAAGTCTGAGTTTTAGACTTCAGTAAGTTTAAGGGCTGGGGTGGGAGGAGATCAAAAATGAAAAATGCCGTACTCTTAACAATCATCACTGTTGCCCACTTTGAGCAGATACACTTTCTAGGAGGCTCCTGAGGGGAACCAGCCTCTCACAAGGCTGTGGTCACTCTAGTTCCCTCCTGGGACACTAAATGCCTTGCACACTTCAGGTGTGGGGGGTGGAGTGGGGACTCCAAGGCTCAGCAAGTATCGGCCCATCAGAGAACATTTCCAGGACTCCAAATTTACTGAAATACTTGTTACAGCCATCCGGTCACCCTGACCAGCCTGTGAGGACCAGGAGGAGAGGAGACTTCAGATTTGCATGTTTGCGAGGGATGCAGGAGGGTCCTGAGCAGCACGAGGAAAATCAGGTGCTTTTTAGACAAAGCCACAGAGACCCTCTCTTCCCTTTCCAAAGTGCCTCCACCTCGATTGACAGGTGCAGGGCAGCTGCTGTGTTTGTGATCAGGCCCAGAGGAGCAGCTTGGGCCCCTGACCGCCAGCCTCGCCCTGGCACCATCCACCTCTGTCACATCAGCAGCACCCTGAATCCGGAGCCCAGCAGCACGGCCACAACTCTCCGTGTGCCTTGGCTCCTGTCCCAAACATGCCTATTCTCAAAATAGCTGTCTGTTAGCTAGCTTCCCGGGGACCTGTCTCCAAACAAGTCCTAACTTTAAGTGACACAAGTGAATCTATCAGTTCATCAGGTTTAATAAAACATTACAACAGGAAAAATAAAATCCCATACTAGAATAACTGGCCTTTGCAAACTGTGTGGGGATTATTTTTTCACATTGTAGTTTTTTCAAGTGCACTGAAATTCACAATCTTGTTTGGTTCTCTCAAATGCACTTTGATGAGGGGGGAGCTCACAGTCTGGAATAACCGGGTCATTCTCTGCTCACGAGTGTGTATCAACCAGGGAACGTTCCGTAAGTGAGTTTTATGGCAAACACATCTTTTCTATTTCAACTCATCCTTTTTCCACATGAAGAAACTGAGTTCTAGTGCCTTTTTGAGACCACAGCTAGTCCATGGCAGGGCTGGGGTTGAAGTTTGATGCTGTCACCAAAGCCCTGGAGCCCTTAGTGTCATAGACAGTACCTCCCCAGAGCCACACAGCAGGGATACTTATAGATTCTAGGCATAAAACAAATGTCTTCACCAGCTTAGGGCAAAGCGCAGGTGAGCTCGTACCTGCTCAGCTTCACCAAGGCGATGTCCGCTCGGGAGGGCTCCAGGAACAGCTTCGATGCTTCTATTTCCTGAATGTGCGATTCCAGATTCACTTCCTGGTGTGCCCCCAGGATAACCTTGTATGACGAAGGCCTCGAGGACCTGGAAAAGAGCAAAATACATTTTGGCCCCATTTACTGGAACCTTTCTGTGCCATAAATGTAACCTGTCTCCCCAAGACCCTCAGCTACCCAGAGCCAGTGACTTCTGAGAGGCAAGAAAGAAAATTCCAGGCTTGCCTGCACCTGGCACTTTAGGACTGTTCTGGGGGCTGCTTTGCCAGGGCCCAGTTCCCATCACAGGGAATGACTCTGTCCTGCTGCTCACCCAGGCCTACAAAACCACCCGGCCCAAGTCTCTCCCCTGCAGTTTCTCTCGAGAAACACTTCCCTCCCTCTCGTCCAACTGCCCTGGCAATTCTGCCTTCCGTGTTCCCTGGCCTTTAATGTCACTACCCAAGATGAAAGATGGAAGAAAGGAAGGCAGGGAAGGAAGACGTCTCTAAGACAAGCCGTCTCATCAGCTGTCCCTTGAACATACTTCTCCAAGCAGTGGGCAGCAGTCAGCACCCACTCGCGGGATATTAAAGTGCCTCCGCAGAAGTGCTTTCCAAATCTAGAGAGAAAACATGCCAAGATTTTAGTTCAAATTTGGTTTATTATGCTCCATGATACACAAAGCCAGATTCACTTGATTCTGGAAATGTTGCTATTCCCAGAGGAAAAAGTTCCCTGGGTATCAGGATGGTATTGACTTTGAATTGGGCCTCCAGTAGGAGGGTTTTCAGAAGGTCCCACCCACACCACGCTTAGGGGTGGCTGGCGAGGTGCAGGCACAGCCATGTGCAGGAGACAGAGCTCTGCAGCCCCAGCATGGAGGCTGACAGCCGGGGATTTGACCTCACAGCCCTGGACTCCAACAGAAGCCACCAGCCAAAGACCTTCCCCCAAGGTCTCTTCCACTTCTTTATGACAAGGTGTGAAGGACATTCTTCTGGGAGCCAGATGTGATTCTGAATGGCAGCAATTCATGGGAATCTTCTAGTCTATCTAAGAAACTTTACACTCTGGGGATGTCCCCTAAATTACTAACTGCATATGACCACTTAGGCACGCAGCCATATTAATGGTATGAGCGGCTCCAAAGCACATTGATGAGAAGAAATACTAATAGATGGCAAGCACGGTAATGATAAATTAGGAAATAGAACATGCACAGTTTGGGAAAGAATGCATTTGAAATAGGGGGAAAGTGAAGACTCCACAGAGCAAGGAGTTGCTCAGCAGTAAGGCAACGGAGTTCATCAACAGCCCTCACCAGCTGTGGAAGGAGGCTCGTGAGCCACGGAGCGCAGGTGTGCAGGTGCGCGGGTGTGCAGCTTGGGAGCCAGGCCAGCGCAGCACGGGGCGCCGGTAAACCTGCTCCACCTGTGCTTCCTGAGCGAGACCCGAGAAAACCTGAGCTCGGCAGGGGCGTGTTTCACTGCAGTGCTGCCCAGGCTGTTTGGGTTCAGTAGAATCAGCCGGGTCTCACCTAAACTACGGGGACCACGAAGTATCATGTGCTCCTGTGTTTGTGAGCAGGTGAGTAGCCTCTGCATCAAGTTTAATGATTCACAAAAGTGTAAAAACAATCTGTATTTCTGAAAGACTGTAGATTATTTTGTCATTGTCTCCAACACCTTGCAAAGTGTCACATTGCTAACAATAGCCCTCTCTTTTCATTTCACGGTGAGACAACACAGCTATGTTAACCCTTTAAAGGGCTTCAGTATTCTTCCAGCAGTACCATACCTGGGCGCAGATCACCGTGTCCACAGATTGTGGTGATAGCTGCCCAGACCACGGCAAAGATGCCAACTGGGGCTGTTTTCAGAGTACAGAACCCAGATGAATATAATTGCTTATGTTTATAGCTTTCCCCCTCCTTCGGCAAATACTGAGATACTACTGCTGCCGGGGCATTGTGGGCTCAGAGGCACACAGAGGCCTTACGGGGCTCGCGAGGAAGGGCGCCACAAGCAGCTTGCTGGCTGTCTCACCTGGTCCTGAGGCTGATCTGCCAGGGCCAGGAGTGCGGGTGGGCCACACAGCCGCCCACCACCCTGCCGGGACATTTCTTCGGCTCCACTTGAGGCTTCCCACAGTCGAATGACGAGGACACTGCGGCACAAAGCGGGGAAAAGTCACATGTGAGGCAGGGTGGCAATTTGGTCTCAGAATTCAAGACAGACTCCGAGCACTGAACTGTTGACATCTCAAAGCCCAAACTACATGATAAAATCGTAAGCGTCTTCTGGGACATTTTCTCTGTTTCAGAGTGATATTAGACAACAGCAAACTGTCTCCACTCAAGGCAGTGTAAGTTCCTTTTTATTGTTTTTTGGGGGAAGTGATAAAATAAGTTGGTTTAGTGAAGCACTAGGATGGGCTCTCCCCTGAGAGGACCTTGGCTGGCACAGATGAGTATTTGCAATTGTCCTTCTGATCTGATGTAATATGCTCAGAACCCTGTCCCATCCTTCCTGGTGATATGACCATCATCACCATGTAAACCACGGAAAGTTTTCTAAAAACCACAGTTGTCATCCCTGCTAAAAGGCAGTGTTTTTTCCACGTGCATGTGTGTGTGTGGTGTGAAATCGTGTGTAACAAGGACAACCGCCCTCAGCTGAAATACTGCTTTTTCTCCACCAGCCCCAGGCCTGCTCCTCCAGGGCGCCTCCTGTGACTAACCCGGTGTGGGTGTGCAGCTCACACACTTGCCTCTAGTCTCTGTTTACCTCCTACCTGCCTCGCCCTCCAGGCAGCCTGCAGAGTCGCCCCAAGGAGGAGGATGAGTGTCCCATCTTTTGTACCACTAATACCTACAATAGTTCAGGGGCTACAAAGTGTGCCCCAAACTGCTTCTCTGTTGTCTGCTGCGCTTCTGGGTCTTCAGAAATAGAAATGTAAGCCATTGTTAGTGCAATCAGAAGAGGAAGCTCCTTGCGTCTTACTCAACCCCAGATTCTATACACTGGTGAACTGGGAACCTGAATTTTCCAAACCCATTTTCATTTGCATGACCTGTTCTGAGAATCAGTGTATAGAAGTCTTTTTTAGAAAGGAAGTGTGAGTACAGCTAAATCCTCCCGTCCTGTGTGGAGCTCGATTTTGCTAGGGCGCCTTCCGTATAGTAGATGTGCGTGAACGTACTAACAGAAGAACCACAGAGGTTATGCTACCCTGGTCTTACTATTCAACATAAATAAGGAAGTTTCTATTTATTTTTACTTATTTCTTGTTTGGACTGAATTTGTTGGTAGAAATGAAATAGTTATTAAAATTATTTACTACCAGTGACCCCAGCTTTCTCACACACGAGTCAGGCCTGGGCACCCATCCCACCAACCACAGTCTTCTGTGGAAACAGGTCTCTGGGCCTCCAAGTGTCTGACCAGGTCCTGCTCGCCAAGTTTGGGGTTGACCTCACTTGTTCCACATCATGGTGAGGTATGGGTACCTCATAGTTCTTCTTTTGTCCTTTCTTCTTTTTCCAGTCTCTAAGAACCTGATTCTTGTACATCTTCAACATGGATGAGGATACCAGAATTGGTATCCTCAGGGAGGATACTGGGAGGTGGCTGTACTTCCTTTCCACAAGAGCCAAAGATGAGTGAGCCTAGGCATGGCTGTGGGGCCTGAGGCAAGAATGGCAGGCCGGGCTCCTCTGAAAGGCAGCCTGTCCGGGCTAGAGGGCCTGGGCAGCAAGAGGCACTGGGGTGTGCTAACTGAGGCAGAGGAGGCAGGACTGGAGGGTGGGCAATGAGCCCTGCAAGGGACCTTCAGGTGAAAGGGGCCGCCAGGAGAGACCTTCTGCAGAACAAACAAAGGCACCCCATACAGAAAAAGCTGCCTGTCAACTCATGCTAAATCCCAAGAGAACAAGGCATCTTGACAATATTGGCCAGGTTGAATCTTTCCTGGTGAACTTACCTCTCCTTCCTCCCTCCTACTCCTCCCCAGGCCTGGCCCGAATGCACCCTGGCCAGGGGGGTTCCCATGGTCTTCACTGCTAGCCTACACTGCTGGTCATCAGTGGCTTTGGAGACCAAGCTCCTTCCCTCCCAGTGCAAGGGCCTTCCCCGCGCCAGACGCCATATGCAGCAAATGGTGCGATGGGGAAGTTCAGGATGGTTTTCTGTGACTAGGATTATGTCTGCTGCAAGAACTGGTCAGCAGAAAGTGAAACAAGGCTAATCCAAGTGGCTTACCCCTTTTTTCAGAAATACTCATGGAGTTTTCATCCCAATCTTCTAAGAACTAATCTTAATTCCCCTTTCCCTGAAACAATCCTCTCACTCCCCAGAAGCATCCAGAGTAGTGAGGAAGGAGTTCAGCAAGCAGGCCCCAGGCTCTGTGCTAACGTAGGCTGATGACGGCAACCTTAGGACACAGGAGATGTGGGCCAAGGAAAGGTCTGCGTCACTTTTCTCTGGATTCTTAGGATGAAGGTGTACAGGTTGACATGTGCACTGTATGTCTGACTGTTGCCTTATGTTTCTGTTTCTTTCTTCTCACTGCTGGAGGGCAAGTTTCCTAACTAGTGCAGAAGAATTCACCATCCTGGGGGCGGTCAGATTACCTCTAAGTGTGCTCTTTGGGGACTTTGTATTTAGTTTATTTTAGTTAATGGAAGAGATATTCCCCTAACACGTGGGGCCTGTCATAGGGCAGGTTCCAGATACCCGTGACTAACACAGGGCTTGGGGAAGAGGCAGCCAGCTCCTTCCTCCCTAGAAGACCCAGCTCAAGGCCCAGCCGGGCCCAGCCCGTCCTTTCCCTCCCCTCCCTACCCCTCCCTTCCCTTCCCTTCCCCTCCCCTCCCTTTCTTCTTCCTTCCCTCCCTTTCCCTCCTCCCCCTTCTTCTTCCTCCCCTCCTCTCCCCTCCCCTTCTTCTTCCTCCCCTCCCCTCCCCTTCTTCTTCCTCCCCTCCCCTCCCCTCCCTTTCTTCTTCCTTCCCTTTTCCTTTGCTTTTGCTTGTTACAGAGCCACATTAAGGAAGTGATCACTGCATTTATTTGAGAAGTAGTTTCCTTGCAAAAAAAAAAAAAAAAGCCACTTACCACACTGAGGGATATCACAGTAGTCAAAAAGTTTTCTTGGATTCATGGTGTAGCACCAGGGACCGTTGACATCGCCATCAGGATTCCGGCAGTACTGAGAACAAGCAGGTGCGAGAGTCATGGTTCATGATGGGCAGAAGGGGAAAGGGCGTAGAGACCCAGCCTCGGAGGACAGGGGGACATTACTGACTCGTCTGGTCACTGTTCACTCCAGCAATCTTCTACCCAATGAAGCCTATTGACTATAGATGCAGAAATGTTTATTTCTACGGACTGTGCACCTCCAGGGGTCAAGATACAGAAAGGCAGTGTCTTCCCTTCCCTCCTATGATATTATGACTTAATAAGAAATATATATTTGTTCTCTGACGTGGAACTCCTAAATCCTTTGGAATTTCCTGGGCTGTAGGAGCATCTTTTGTTGTAATGAAACAACTCTTGGTGGGCTCCTGGTAGCCTCAGCATGGTGGCTGGTCACCAGGGGAACCCGTGGTGTGATTAGAAGGCTGAAACTTTCTGCCCCACCCTTCAACTTCTGGGGAAAGGCTGAAGGCCAAGTTGATCACCAGCAGCCAATGATGCAATCCTTCTCGCCTGCATGGTGAAGGAGAGCTCTGGATTGCTCACCATGAGGACACAGTTGGAGGGTGGTAGGCCAGGGAGGGCATGGCAGCTCTAAGCCCCACTCACATGCTCTGCCCTGGACATCTCTTCCACCTTGCTGTTCACTGATGTCCTTTATAATAAATGGGCAAATGTAAGTGTTCCCCTGAGTTCTGTGAGCTGTTACAGCCAATTAAATCTGAGAAGGGGCTTGTGGAAAAATAGATTTATAGCTGATTGGTCAGAAGTACAGGTCACAACCTGGAACCTGTGAAGTGGGGGGCAGTGTTGTGGGACAGAGCGCTTCACTTGTGGTATCTGATGTTATCTCCAGGTAGATGGTGTCAGGGTTGAGTCAAATTGTAGAATGCCCCACCGGCTGTCAGAAATATTCTGCTGTGTGGTGAGTGGGAATGGGGGGCACACCTTGATTTTTCCTGTATCTCAGATTTCCCCGCACATACCCCCCCCAAATAAACCATCCCAGAGAGTGCATGAGATTAGGGGAAATCCAACTGTGTGGGGGCCCATTGTCCCATCAAGAATTTTTCTAGAAAAATTTGACTAAAATGTCATGAAGTGTATCTTTGATCATTAGAACCTAGAGGACAAATACTAGAAACTAGAAACAGCACCCAACAAAAGAAGCACACAGAGATGTCCCAGAAGGGACAGAGATCTGCCCCTCTGTGTCCACCACACTTTCTGTGTCACTGCCAATCCCAAGTCTCCTGAGATCACTGCAATTTTTTCCTCTCATCCCGACTCTTTCCCCCAGTACAGAGATCGGTCTAGGCTGATTTTTTATAGCAGGGTCAATTCTGTCTGCAAAGATTGCTCAGGAAAAGCAAATGGGTCTAGATCAAAGTGGCTTACGTTTTCTTCCAGACCTGCCCGTGGGTTTGTCTCTGGAGTGAAAATTGTGTGACTATGGGGCTCCTGGGCAGCCCAGCCCTGGCACGGGGTCCCAGTGACAGTGGTTGCCTTCTTGCCTCGGTAGCTTTTGCCGTTCCCAAACATACAGTCTGTAGGAAGTGGAAGGGGGGTTATGTACTGCTACAGCGCCAGGACCACAGGGCATGCGGCAGCCACGTGAGGTTTCTCTGGGCCGACACACTCCGTGGTCATGTCCTCAGAAGCTGGATTGCAATGAACGCTGGCTATTTTAAGAAGTTCCCGGATACGCTTATTGGCTTAGAAAGCATCACATATTTAAGAGGATGTTTAATTAAACCTTTGGCTAGGACCCCAAGATAACCAGTTTCAGGACAAAGTAAATGGTAAAGAAAGCACCCTGGAAGATTTGCACAAGTGCTCAAATCTGCTGTTACCCATATTGTGCCACAAATTACAGCTCTGGCTCTGCCAGAAGCCTCCTTCCACATGGAAGACCCTCCACTGGAGACCCTTTTAACATGGAAGGCTTCCCCATTGGAAAGATTTTCCATCTCTACTCCTCCCATCGTCCAGTTACGTCAGTGTCCGGCCAGAGCTTTCTCACCCTGTTCAGAAGGAGCCTCATGGCTGGGACCCTGGGCTGTGGTTGGAGGTGTGGCCACCACGCTGCTTTGTGTGTCCAGGCATTTCCGCAGGTTGCAGTATTCCCACCGCACGCTTGGGTCAGTGGTGTAGCACCAGGGGCTTTTGTCGCCATCTGGATTCCTGCAGTAGTTCATTTCCAACCGACTGCAAATTCCAAAACAATATAGGTCACGAGAGGTGGGAAAATTGTCAGGGGGACCCAGCACCCTCTATATTTTGTTATAACAAAGTGTTGACAAGTGACTTGAAATGTTCCCATTAAAGGCACAGTAACTATCCCCATGCATAGACAGTCTTTAACTTCTAAACCACTGTGTGAATTTCAAAGACAGATAATAATTTTTATTAAAAAAAATCAGGAATAAGGGGTGGTGCCTGTGGCTTAGTGAGTAGGGCATTGGCTCCCCCATATACCAAGGGTGGAAGGTTCGAACCTGGCCCTGGCCAAACTGCAACAACAACAACAAAAATAGCTGAGCATTGTGGCAGGCACCTGTAGTCCCAGCTACTCAGGAGGCTAAGGCAAGAGAATCACCTAAGCCCAAGAACTGGAAGTTACTGTGAGCTGTGACACCACAGTACTCTACCGACAGCAACAAAGTAAGACTCTGTCTCTTAAAAAAAAAAAAAAAGAATAAGATATGGGCTTGGCACCTGTAACTCAAGCAGCTAAGGTGTCAGGCACATACACCAGAGCTGGCAGGTTCAAATCCAGCCTGGGCCTGCCACAGAACAATGACAACTACAACCAAAAACTAGCTGGGCACTGTGGCAAGCACCTGTGGTCCCAGCTACTTGGGAGGCTGAGGCAAGAGAATCACTTAAGCCCAAGAGTTGGAGGTTGCTGTGAGCTGTGATGCCACGGTACTCTACCCACGGTGACAGCTTGAAGCTCTGTCTCAAAAGAAATAAAAAGAAGAATAAGATATGCTCCACATAGAAACTGAGATGATATATAAATATGTAAAAGAAAGAACTAGATTATCCATGTTCTGTCCAATACTTTTCTCCGATACTGGTTTTGAAGTGTACATATTAGATATTTTATGCATATATGAATCTATCCATACCCATCTCTATGTCTCTCTCTGTACATAATTATATAGTAATATGTACGCTGGAACGCAAACATTTCCCCAAGGAAGAAATGAGATACAAGATGATAACACTCCCAAGCCAGTTGTCTTAGTCTTTTGACTCACAGTGTAGCTAAAATGCTCTACATATACCATGGAAAGCAATCTTGGAAATAACATCACTATAAATATGCTATTGGGTAGATCAAGTGGGTTTAGGTTTGCAAGACTTTTAAATGCCCACAGGCAAGGTGTGGTTTCTATAAGCCACATTCCTGGGCAGGACATCCTCTCCTGCTCCCAGGCCACCCTCTGCTGGCTGCAGCCACTCTATCTGAGGGAAAGGGATGAGATCAACGGACAGAGAGCTGGAAAGGGTAAAGAGAGACAGTAGGGTAGACGAGGGGACCTGAGGGCATTGCCTGGTTATGGAGGGGGTCAGAGAAACACTGAGTAAGAGACATAGCATGGCAGGATCCAGGGGTCCCCTGGAGGATGTTGTTCCCTGGAGCTTCCCAAGAGCATAGCCCCGCCTCTTGGAAGCCTCAGCATCGGAACCCCTTTCACAATGTACCGACTTGAACTGCGGCAGGCAGAGCCATATCATGTGCTAGAGAAATGCAACACCGAGTCAGCGGATACTTCCAAGAGGTTATTCTGTTGTTTCCGGGTTGCATGGATTCTGATGAGAAAGTGTAATTCATTGTTATCACTGTTCCTCTATATAAATGTATCTTTTTTCCTCTAGAGTTGACCACCTCTAAGATTCTTCTCTTCTTTGATTTTTGACAATTTAACTATTATGCACCTAAGTATATCATGCAATTTTATTTTAAAAATTCTACTTCTGTTTCACAGAAATTTTTGAGTTTACAAATTTCAGTATATTTGAAAATTTTTCAGCTATCTTTATTTCATGTATTTTTTTTTCTTTACTAATATCTCTCTCCTCTCCTTCTGGGACTTTGTTTATACATATGTTAAATCTTTTGATATTTTTATAGAGGTCCTTGAGGCTCTGTTTTGGGGGTTTTTTCATTCTTTTTTGCATGTATGTGTTGTAGTTTGTATAGCCTCTGTTGCATTATGTTCTACCTCATTTTTCTCCTGTAATCTCTAACCTGATGGTACCGTTATCTGGTAAATTTTTCATTCAAAACTATTACAGCAGAAGCTCCATAGCTGACCACCTCCCCACACTGACAACCTCCTTAAGTTGCCCTTGACCAGACAGGTCTCACATGTACTTATCAGTCTAGTAGGCCTAGTTCCTTCTGCTGACCACCTCCATATGGTGACCAGTTCATTACAGTCCCTAGGGTGGTCAACTTACAGAGGGTCTACTGTGTGTATATATGTGTTTATGTTTATATAAATATATATTTGGTTCTCATTATCCAGAGAGGAGAAACCTCATTAATTTCCACTTGGCTCTTTTATGATTTACCTTTCTCTTGACTTTACTCGTTTTTTCTTTTATGGTCATACCTTATATCCTTAAACATACTTATATATTTAACATTTTCCCCCCAGTTCCTTCATTTCTGAGTCTATTTCTATCGACTGATTTTTCTCCTCATTACAGATCACATTTAATACTTTGTGTATGTCTAGAAAATTTTTAAATTTATATCAAACATTGTGGCTGCCACATTACTGAGAAAATTGATTTAGTTTTCTACCTCTAAAGAGTGTTTTCTTTTGGGAGGCAGTTAATTTTCTTGGAGATTACTTTGCTCCTTTTAGAATTGCTTTTTAGCTGTGCTAGGCTGTTTCTAGAGTACCCTTTATTCTAGAAATATATTATTCCTACTCCTAAAGCATGGCATTTCTGGGATCTCTACTGAGCATCCAAGATTTTCAATGAGGTCTCTCCTGTCTGGATGGTGAGAACTCAAGTAATGCTCCCTGGTAGCAGTTCTTTTCCCAAGAGTTGTTCTTTGTCCCACTTTCTTTTTGTAATATATCCTTATGCATGCACAGCTTTATATTTTCCTAAAGACTCAAGGAAAACTTTGTGCATATTCCTGGAGCTCTCTGTTTCCACAGGTCCTGTCGCAGGATTACACAACCTAGCAACCCCCTGTGCCTTAGTCCTGTCCAACTCCAGTCCCTTCCTCAGTTCAGCAAGGTGGTGGAGGTCTGCTTTGGTGCTATCTCTTTGCATTTCAGTTTCAAAAGTGTTTCTAGGAAGAAACCCAGGGGAATAATGGCATTGATCACAAGTATTTCCCGTTCTGAATGAGCTCAGTCCTGGGATGTCATTTATCCATCGTGTGAAAACACTTTCTCTGTATATTTTACCCTCTTTGATGGCACAAAGGCTGGTCCGGTCAGACTCGTGCTTTTTTCCATCGGCTTGCCCTTTGTACTTCTCAGGACCTGTATACTGCTGCCTCCCACCTGCCCTCCTGCTTTGGCTGCTAATGTCCTGGCACCTTATATCCATTCAGACCACTAGTGCTAAAGACCCAGTGTGTTTGGCTAAGTCAGTGTGTGTGTGTGTGAGAGAGAGAGAATCTGAGTGTGGTTCAAATCTTGACTTGTAGCCCAAGATAAAACTGACAAACTTTTCTTTGAAGATGGCGGCTGAAATGGTAGAATTGCATGGTTGAAAGATTGCATGGATCTGTAGTGGGGGCCATGGCCTGGTACTGTTCCTAAGTGTTTGTTCATTTGTTCTCCTGATGTTTCCATTCATGTGCCCTGGGCACCTCCTTCCATGTGTATTGCGGGTTCCTATGAAACGACTCAGGCAGGACACCCAGTCTCTAATTTCCTTTCTCTTAGAACTGTGGCTCCAAAGCCAGGATCCTGCACATTCCACCTCACACTGTGGACCTAAGAGAATTGTGGTCCTAAGCAATTAGCTTAAAACATAGCTCTTATAACAGAAATGTAAGTTAGCCACCACTCCTCTTATGATTAAATTTAAAGACATACGCATTTGGGTAGTTTTGTGGGGTCTTTTCATGCCTATGTGGCGTCATAGACAACCAAGATTGACATTTCCTTCCTGTGATGGTGGTGGATGAGGTGCCCCGGTAACTCTGTCCATTGCCCTGGTAACAGTCCTGGACAACAGGGGTTTCCTCAGGTGGTGCTGAAATTAAAATAGAAGAAATCAAGGTCAGTAATGACTGGAACAGAGAGACCTGTGAAGAAATTTACACACAAGTAGTTAATTAATCTCTGGAATTGTCACTGTTCTTTTTTTGATATTAACAGAGAGATAGATATCCCAGAAGAAAAAAAAAAGAAAACAATAAATCCATAACATTCTAGAACTTTAACAAGCTAACTTTTCTTGGAAATATTTAATTTAAAATTCAGAGAAGAAATAATCAAGTCAGAAAGAATGGCTGTCAGTGTCAGTCATGCCTGAAACCTTTCCCTGTTTCCCCCGGTCATTTTCTCACCCAAAGCCAAAGGCTTAAGCTTCTGGGGGATGTGGGAGGAAATAGTCCTGTGTCTAGACTGAAGGCAAAAATTCACTGTTTCTCAGATAGGGTAGAGGCAAAAATCATCCCTAGAAGAGAGACAAGGAACCCTCTGGCATCCAAGATGGTGCAATGGCTCCAAGCACAAGTCTACTCCTCTTCCACTCAAGGACCAACCCAGAGACAGGAACCATGAGAAGGAGAAGTGCAAACACTCTGAAGTCAGGCCTTTCAAAGCCTGAGTTTGCTCAGTCAGCCTAGGACTCTGGTGGACCAGGGAGACAGAGCACTTGCCCACTTCCACCAAACACTGAGCATTCAAGGACAGCCAACAACAGTCTACTCTGAAGTGGAGGGGCATCACCTCTGTGGTGCAGGCCCTCTGTGAAGGCTCCAATCTGAGCATGGTGTAGCAACACAGAGAAAAACTCTTCAGCACCCCAGAGCCCATCTCAGCACCAGGTCCAGCAGCCCACCACTGCAGGAACTGAAAGACCGTGCTGCACATCCTGCCCAGGGAGCCCCACTCATTTCAGCTGCTAGCTACCCGGACTCAGTGATTAGGTATTCTAATCTAATTCTACCTAATCAATAGAATACGAAACAGAAAATCAGGATACTCAAGAATAACACTAACATTCAACTTGACCTAATTGACCTTCAGAGAGCATCCGACCTGATGACAGCAGGAGTCACGTTCTTTTCAGAGCATAGTGAACATCCAACAAGATGACTATATTTTGAGCCATAAAGCAAACCTCAACAAATTTAAAATAATTGAAATGGTAAGGAGCACGTTGTCTGTGCAGAAAGTAATTGAACTAAACAAAGCCAGTGGATACCGTGATGAGACCGCTGGGAGCATTAACATCTGGAGCCTGTCTGGGCCCTCAGCAGCTCCCAGCCCTCTCTCACCTGAAGTGTCCACGTGTTCCACAGACGTCTGAGAGGCCTCACAGGACGGCACAGCACAGTACTCCCACCTCACCGCACTGTTGGTTGTGTAGCACCATGGGCTTGTTTCTCCATCTGGGTTACGACAGTAATTTTCATCCAAGCCTCTGGAACAAAAAAGGGATTATGAGTCTGGGTTCCCCAAAAGGCTAAATAAACAAGGTACACACACGTCTGTGAATGGTGCTATTGGATATATATCCAGCTGATGACATTGTGGTCTAGAATTATACAAACCAAATAGCAGGTGCCAGAAGGAAGCGTAAGCAGAGTTGGATCTCATAGGATTCCTTAGAATCATGGCCCAGATGCTTCTCTTGGGTAAATGGTTGAAATATGTTCATGGCTTTGTGTGGCCAGGTAAGATAGGCCTTTGTGTGTCAGCACTATGCTATGTGCTGGGACTACAAGGGCCATTTCCCCCTCCCCCGACCCCCGCTCCTGCCTCTGTGAGGATACATCCTCGCCGTGGGGCTTAAGTGTTACAGGGCAGCGCTTCGCAAACCTTAGAGTGCGTTCGATTGTCAAAACATATTGCTGGGCCCATCCCTAGAGCTTCTGAGTTCATAGGTCTAGACCAGAGCCCAGGAATTTGCACTTTTAACAAATTCCTGCTGACTCTAATGCTGCTGGTCGGGGAAACCACAACTGGTGGGGGGAAACGGGGAATTTCACTTCCCTTGCTTATGAGTTTTAGTCCAGATACTTTAATCCTCAGTTCCTGTGGGAACTAACACTAAGGCAAAGTCAATGAGATTTCACACTCCATAGCAGCAGAGAGGGAATGAGACCAGAGGGGACTTACTTGCAGGGGAAGTTTTCGGGTGTCCGGTTGTGTTTGTGAGGGGTCTGCTCACTCCAGCGCTGACACGTGTGCCCAGACACAGTAACCGCCACCTTTCCACGGTAGTTTTCGCCTCTCCCCTTCAGACACTGGTAAGTTGGGCCAGAAGACGGTGGGGGTGTTGCTTGGATGGGGAAAATAAACTACAATTAATATTTTTAAAATAAAGAATGCACAGGAGCGTGTTAGGGGAGACCAGGTGCAGGGTGGACTAGTTTCTCTCTGTCTCAGCTCAGCCCATCTTGGAGTCTGGCACTTGACCATCATTTAGCAACTTCAGAAGAAATCAGTTTAGCTGAATCTAGTCTGTGAGCTCCTTTCGTGAGGAACTCCTCCCAAAACAGGGCCTAGGGATGAGGCTTCTTTCTACGCTCAGTTCTTCATACGTGGTGAGTATCGATCTGTGTCACCCCCATCACATAGGCTAACGGTCCAAGATCTTTTGTGAAGAATAAATTATTCACTGAGCAAACATAACCAAACGACACCCAACAGTCCACAAAACCAAACGACGCAGGCAGAGCGCAGGAGTGTGAAGGCACAGTATGTCTGCAAGGAGCGTGGTGTGCACCCAGAAATCAAGGGAAAAAGATGAGATGACGGAAAGGGACACTGGTGTGTTTGCAAAGAGGAGGAATATCTGAGGGGCTTCAGCTCTGCAAAGGACCCTCGTCAGAGCAAACAAGGCGAAGCCAGCCCTCACTGGCTCCTTTCTATCGTGTGAGGACGGTCTCTGAACCTCTAAGCCCTTGCCTCCTACTCTCAGAGAAGGGAAGACTATAAAATTGCCTTCTCCAGGCACTTCTGCTACGTCTCTCAGGTCGGCTGGTTCATCTTCCGAACTCTCTTTCCCTGCTGCGCCCAACTTGGACACCCCCCAAACTGGACATCCACAGACACTCCTTTGTGAACAAAGCAACAAGGAGAACTCTGGTTGATAACGAGATGCGCCCCGGAGAGTGTGGGTCTAATTTCCCTGCAGCACAGAGAGAAGCAGCATACACACGCCACCAAGAACCTGAGTTTAAGCGCACTCGTGAGCCATGGTGTCTCTGATGGGGGTCAGGTGGGAGGCGTGATAAGTGGAGGCTCTGACTGATCACCTACAGTCATGGCCAAATTGTTTTGGGAGAGCAGGAACATCCCCCTGGCCCCGCAGGCCACTTCGCTTTCCTATCCCTGGGACGCCGGGTACTCACTGCAGCGGGGGATGTCACAGAGCTCCCAGCGCTTGTTGGGACTGGTGGTGAAACACCATGGGCGGGGCTCACCGTCAGGGTTCCGACAGTAATTCATCTTCAAGTTCTTGTTTGGAAATCTGAATGGGTAAGAGGATTTTAATAGCACTGAACATTTGCATTCATGGATGAAAATCTTTTCAAGTGAGCAAACATTGCACACCTGCTGTGTGCCAGGCACAGTCAGGCACCGGAGGTCACCACAGGAAGGCAGTTGACTGGCTCAATATTCAATATTGTTTTCTTTTTTTTAGAAAATGGGGAGGGGGGTCCTCATTATGTTGCCAAGGTTGGCTTTGAACTCCTGTGCTCAAGTCATCCTCCTGCCTCACTGCCCAGCTGCCAATGGGCTGTTTTTCTAACAGTTTACATTTATAAAACATCACTGGACAGGGTCAGTAGCCTTACCATTTGGGCCATCTGGAAAATTGTGAGTAAACTCCAGTTATTCAGCTGCAAATGTTAGTGATTTTTAAATACAAAGTACTTTGTGCCTAAAGCTTGTGAGTGGTACACAATACCACCAAGACGTGGGCACCTTCGTAGCTTAAGACTGGTCCTTCTGATCTACATGGCTCTGGGCCTGCCAGCCCTAAAACCAGAAGGGAAGCCATGTTCCTGCAGGCACCTTACAGTGCAGTATGGCCCATGACCCCTCTGCAGGGGGACCTGGTGGCTAAGGCTGTTACATGCACCCACACCTGGGTCCTCAAACTTTTTAAACAGGGGGCCAGTTCACTGTCCCTCAGACCGTTGGAGGGCTGGACTGTGGGCCCCAGGATGAGTCAGCTGCTAAGCAGGATAGGCAGTGGTGGCAAAAACACCCATTGGGCCAGATAAATGTCCTCAGCGGGCCGCATGTGGCCCTTGGGCTGTAGTTTGAGGACGCCTGAGGAATATTCCCTCCTCTGAGGTCGTAAATGCTTAGTCAGGATGCACAGAGTAGCCAGCAGTGGCTTAAGCAATCCTTTTCTCCTCTGGTTTCCTGGGGTGAATTTACACAGTGTGAGACCTTGAAGCCGCTATTGTATTTCTCCTTTGCAGGTCAGCAACTGCGGTGTTCTAAGCTAGCTATGTGGAACTGGAGGTGCGAAAACGGAGTGGGGTTGTTTTGGACAGTGAACGCTGTGGCTTAGCCTCACTGCTGTGGTTCTTCTGAGCTCTGTGCTGGCCCGGAGGTGGCCATAGCATGAGAGAAGGACCGGGAGCAACATGAGGAGGTGTTTTCCAGCACAGTTAATTGAAATACAATATGCACAAAACCACACTCTAGAAAACACCATTACTGTCCAGAGAGGGACTATTCTTCCCCCTATTTTAAATTCATGATCCACTTGGAGAATCTTGTGGAATTCATGAACCCTCATTCCAGACAAATGCACAGATATAAATACACATAAAATACTGGGATTCACAAAACCCACGATGTTCAACCTGCTGATGAGGGATTAGGAAGCCGTGAATCTCATCAGTATAAAGGAAAAGAAGAGGAAAGGAGGAACAAAAAGGGGAAATATTTGGAAAGTGCATCAGCCAGCAGTGTCTCTACTTCTCAATACAGATGTCAGTGCAACCATACACACGTTAGGGTTTCAGTGTGTGCAGATCAGCTGGGGATCTGGGGTGATATAATTCAGTTTCAGAAGGTCAGAGATTCTGCCCTTGTAACAAACCCTAGGTGACGTCACCACGCCTGGTGCATGGACCACGTTTTGAATAGTATGAATGTGTACTTCACTTGCGGTCTTGTGGGAGGATGCCAGCTTTGAAATTCAGAAACAACAGGTGTTTACTTCTGCAGGAATTCTAAAATTATCTAAATAGCAGTAAACATGTAACAGAGCTGCAGAGTCTGAACCATGGCGTGTCTTCCCCACGAGACTTACTTGGAAGGAATGTACCCATGAGCATGTGGGCTCTGAGAGTCCCAGGCCTGGCATTCCAGTCCAGACATGGTCTTGGAAATCTTGCCCTGATAATTTTCTCCGCTGCAGTGCATACATTCATCTGGGCAGCATGGGGAAGAAAGAGGGAGAGAAAGTTGTTCTAATCATTCCAATGCCAAATAAGCTAGCAGTATTTTGGGATGGATTTTTGATCGTGCTCATGGCCTCATCAAAGAACAATAGTCACCTGACACGAAGTATGATGGGATGGTTTTTGCTTTGCTAAATTATTCAGAAACTGAAACTTTGATCAAGAATTATTGAAGTCACATGGTGAGCAGGCTAATATATTAGTTAAATTTTTATGGGGAAATAAGGAAAACAGGACAGAGTTAACACCAAAATGGTACATTCAGGACACTTACAGGCCAGACGACCTATAATGCAGTGTACAAATAAAGGATCCCATGGTTCAAAGAAATAAAAGTGAAGAGAATTGAGCTGTCACATAAATCCTACCTTTATCTGTTCCTCCTTGTCCTAAAAACATAGACAGAAATACAAAATGAAGGAATCTTTTCCTTATGACATTTTAAACTTTTTTAGCATTGATCTTTAAGGTATACTATGTAGTATACAGTTGGTCCATTAAAATGACAGATTACAGATTTAAAAACTGGTTTGTTGCTTAGCTTCGACTAACCAACTAAGTTTACCAAATTAATAGTGTTTATTTGCATTTTATTGATTTCATAGTTTTAATTTATTGCAAATATGTCTGGGTTTATATATATATATATATATATATTTTTTTTTTTTTTTTTTGGGGGACGGAGCCTCAAGCTGTCCCCCTGGGTAGAGTGCCATGGCATCACAGCTCACAACAACCTCCAACTCCTGGGCTCAAGCGAGTCTCCTGCCTCAGCCTCCCAAGTAGCTGGGACTACAGGCGCCAGCCACAACGCCTGGCCATTTTTTGGTTGCAGCCATCATTGTTGTTTGGCAGGCCCGGGCTGGGGATTCGAACTTGCCACCTTAGGTGTATGTGGCTGGCGCCTTAGCCGCTTGAGCCACAGGCGCTGAGCCATGGGTTTTTATATTGCATAAGAGTTTTACGCATAAGACACTGTGTCTAGAGTTTAGACCTAGTTTTCTATTTGTACGTGCTGAAGTAACGTTTTTATTTTTTGATACAAGGCCTCAGTCTGTTGCCCAGAGTGGCTTCATAATAGTTCACTACAACCTTGAATTCCTGGGCTAAAGCCATCCTCCCTCAGCCTCCTATAGGCATGAACCATTGCACCTGGCCGGAAGTAACATTTTCATAAAAATAATTCAGGTCAATAGTGGAGGTCTGGGCAAATTTTTGCTTCTTTCCAAGAGACAAATATATCACTCAATTTCATCATGTCTGGCACCACTTGATTATTAATGATACCCAGAGGGAAATGGCTTTGCAGCAAATTACTTCACTGGTGAAGGGCAGACATGAAAACATTTTCTGGGGCCCCTCCTGACCTTCACACTCAGGAATGTCACAGTAGTCGAATCTCTGTTCTGGGTCTGTGGTGTAGCACCAGGGCCCCCGGTCATCATTGTCTGGGTTCCTGCAGTAGTTCTCCTCCAGTCCCTCCGAGGGGTATGCATCAGGGGAATACCTGAGGATGGAGAGAAGCACTCTGACTATGTTCTGAAAATCAGTAGGCTCTCAGCAAGGCGGAATGAGGCGCTCTCTGTTTCCTGAGCCAGGTTTAACTTTCTGCCATCCAGATGCATTTCAGCTATGCGCTGTCACATCTGTGCTGTCAGGGATCAGCTTCTCCATCAATAGGCGGCTTCAGGCATGGCAGCTAATGATACCATTGTTACCGTACTGAGTTTTAGAAATAGAGCCAACATATCTTTGTGGCATGGTCACCAGACATACACAAGCCTCCAAAGCCAAGACCCAAATTCTTGCTTCATTCCAAATGCCCACTGCCAGCAGTCACCCTTCTCTCTGTGAAAACCTCAGTGGTTAATGCCATTCTGTCTATGTGAACTACGCACCAGGCAATGCACTAACATTTTTTTATATCCTTTCTCTTTCAGTCTTCATAAAATAAAAAAAAACAGGAGGGTGTTATCCCTAATTTACAGAAGAGAAAACTGAGTGTAGGAATGTAAAACAAAAGAAAACTTGCCCAAGCTTGCACAGCTAATAAGGGGCAGATCAAGAATTCAGAGTCCATCCGTTGATTCTAAAGGCTGAGTTTTCTCTGAAATGCAGCCTAAATTAATGTGGATGGGGAAGGGAGTTGTCCTCATTTTTAGTTCTGGGCATGAGCTGTGCTATGGAAATAACAGACAAACCCACAGGACTTTGAGTCTAGAAAGGCAAGTTTTGTGTCCAGTTCTTCTGTGTATATGTCTTAGGTGGCCCCCATCAGCCCGGGACCTTGGTGTTCTCCCAAAGACCAGCCTAAACATTCATGCAAAATCAGCCGAGATTGTCTCTAAGGCCCCTGACGTTCTGTGATTTGGCCATTTGGTTGAATCATTTACTTTATCTAATGAGGCATATTAGATCTACTCGTCTCATAGAGATGCAGCAAAGGCAGTTTGGCCAGAGGAACAGACACTGAATTCCTGTTCCCTAAGCGTCGTTACTAAGAACTTAAAGCTACCTGACAGCAAAGTGGGGAAAGCATGACAAGATGACACTAGAATAAATAACAGGCAAGTTGACAGATTTACATTTCATTTTCATTTTTACATTTTATTTACTCTTTTTGCTCTGAAATGTCGAGGCTATCAGAGTTTCAACCTGATATATTTGCCATGTTTGACTCAGTCCTAAACAGAGTCATCTCTGGCCTTCCTTCAGACTCAGCCTAGAACTCATGGCTGCATTATTCTTTTATACTAAGCAGCCTTCTTTGTTCTGGGTCTCCCAGAAAACTCTCTATGCAAGAATAAATAGGAGGTGGCCCCTTTCTACTTTTGTGCTATAAGTAATTGAACATCATCAATTCCATATCAGCAGCAAAGAAGTTCTATCTGTTTAATTCCCCTATTTTAGTTTGATTTAGAAATAATAGAATTCTTCTAAATATATTTGGCTCTCTGCTTCCTCAGAATCAACATCCACAGATTCAACCAACTGTGGACTGAAAGTAGTTGGAAAAAATAACAATACAACAATAAAAACTAATATAAATCAAAATACAGAATAACAGCGATTTATATAACATTTACATTGTAGCAGGTATTATAAGTAATCTAGAGATGATTTATACTGGGAGACGTTTGTAGGTTACATGCAAATACGGTGTCACTTTGTATCAGAGTCTTGAGCATCCCCAGATCTGGGTACCTGTAAGGGTCTTAAAACCAATTCCCTGTGTCTACAGAGGGACAACTGTACCGTATATGAACACAAAGATAAAAGAGAAAGTCTTACTTAGGTCGGTGGGGAAAACTGGAGCTCCATTTCTGACAGGGAACGCCCTTCCTCGTTTTGGACGCTGTCCCTCTGTAGTTCCTTCCATTCCCCGTCTTGCACTCTGAAAGATACACTGGAAGGAAGCCCAGGTGGTGTCAGAATCTTCCCAACCAAGGGAGCTCCTGAAGAAGGTCTGCGCAGCAGAGTCACACTCAGAGAAAGAACCCGCACACCAGACACCGTGTCCCTGCTTTATAAACGGGGCCACCTCCTGCTCGGGTTCCTTTGCTCCAACACCACTAGCTGAGCCCATCTGTGTACCGGGCACCCGCCAGGTGCTGAGGACACCAGGGCCCCCCCTCATGGAGCACACATTCTAGTGGAGGAGAGCTCAACATTGACAGGAATCTTTCAGGGACACAAAGTATGAAATGAGAAGTTGGGGCAGGTATGTGTTACAGAGAAAGTGAATGGCCTGGTGGTGAAAGACTGGGGGTGGGGCTTTTTAGGCAGTAGGCAGCAGAGTTTTCAGAGGCTGGAAAAGATCCAAGCCCCTTCTGGGTTTTTTGGCTTCCCATTAATAAGAAGAAGTGCCAGGAGGGGCTACAAACAGGCTGTCCACTCTGAATGCTCACGGTAAAAACTCTCGAGCACCCTCCACGCAGCCAATCTACCACTTAGCCCTTAGCCAGGGGCGGAGGGGGAGCTCCCTCCTGTCTTTAAGGCAGTCTGGGGGTCCCCCTTGTGGTCCACATGCAGGGGGTGGGCACCCACAGTGGGCAAACCCCTCTCCGGGGTGGCCACCACTTCTGGCTCCCTCAGGTGCATATGTGCTTGCCAAGAGACATTTGCTTGTACAAATAAATGTCTAACTTTCTTACATAGTTATACTTAATTAAAGATGATCAAGGGTGGTGATAGTGGCTCAGTGGGTAGGGTGCCAGCCCCATATACCAAAGGTGGTGGGTTCGAACCCAGCTCTGGCCAAACTGCAACAAAAAAATCACCGGGTGTTGTGGTGGGCACCTGTAGTCCCAGCTACTCGGGAGGCCGAGGCAAGAGAATGGCCTAAGCCCAGGAGTTGGAGGTTGCTATGAGCTGTGAGGCCACAGCACTCTACTGAGGGCGATAAAGTGAGACTCTGTCTCTAAAAGAAGTAAAAATAAAAAAAAAAAAAAAGATGATCTAAACTGAGAAGTGAAGATGAAAAGTTCTGGTTTGTTGTTAAGTTGAATGATTTTAAGGAGTTGGCAGAGTCGAATCTATGGAGTTCACATTCCTCTTAGTAAAGTATCTCAAGAATGGGAAAAAATCCAACATACTCAATACTAATAGGAAATCAATATTAAACAACTATATGCTCATAGGAAAGAGAGAAAAGACGAATATAGTCTAGTGAGGGGGAGGAGAGAGGAAGGAGGGGGAGGGGAAGGGAGGAAGGCGATTGGCGGGATCTCACCTAACGTGCACAAAGTGAGGGTGTCCAGCACGCCCCCTGGGTGAAGGGCTCAACTACAACTTGAACTTTACCTTAGAATTGAAAATAATGTAACCTAAACATTTATATCCATATGCTAATTTGAAATTTTTAAAAAGTCACATCATTTTGAAAAATGCCATCAAATTCTCTGAGGGCAACCCTCTCTTACAGTTCACTATATAAGTTTGAGGAGAAAATCGTGAAAATCTAATGGCATTACAAATGCAGATTGGTTAATAAATGTCTAGATCTTGCTCCACTTCACAGATAAGGCAAACGGTTCTTATAGATGATGTGATAGAACATAGTCATGCAAGAAATGTGCCAGCAGACTCCCATTGGTGGCCTGTGTTCAAAGAAAAAAAGCCTTTGCATCAAAAGATGCTGATGTAAACTTGTGTTTTTGATAAAAATATATAATGTTCAAGGTATATTTACATCACCCTTTAAGATTCCCTACTTTAGCCAAGTTTTTAAATTCATTGATCAATCGTCTGAGGAAAGTACTTCCAACGTATCTAGAGAAAACGAATGCTTTAACCCCACACTAGGTATAATGATTGCAAATATGTCTTGGTGGGGACATGTATTAACAGTGGACAGATTACACTCATTGGGAGTATAAGCTCAAGGTACTTTGTGAAAGGGAGGCCCAGGGGTCGGGGGAGACTTGCACTGAGGCTGTCATGAAGGGCCAGGTGGAGAAGGTCCCAGGCAACAGCGGCGTGTGCTCGGTGTGGTGGAGGAGCAGAGATAAGCCCAGTATAAAAAAGCACAGTTGCCAAGCCAGCAGTAACACAGGGCCCTGTGGGGTTTAGAAGCCACTCAGATCTTGTTCCAGGAAGGGTTTTAAGCAGAGAAGGTACATTTCTAAGGGATCACTTGTGTGACTACCAGCAGGGGGACCAGTGACTGCAGTGGCCCTGGCCAGAGATGATAAATTTGGTGGCTGGTGATAAGTGGCAGATTATCAATGTAATCTGACACAGATTGTTCCCGGCAAAATCTAGGCAGGCAAATATTCCACAGTGAAAAAACAAGGACCAAAAAATGACTGACTTTTGACTTTTTGCCTCTCTTTTGTTTGTATGTACCCTCCAGAGTTTATATAACCTTTGGCTCCCTCTGTGACCCTGAAAACAAGCAAACTAAGGCTTCAAACTTCAGACTTCAGCCTCAGCCTAACAGTCACCCCCGTGATCCTCTGGGTTAACAATTTACAAATGACATATTTAAATGGTAGCATTTTATAGACAGAATCCCAACAGCCTTTTTTTTTTAGTCTGGTGGACAGTAAGTGATCCTATGTACTTCATCCTTTACTCACTGTTTATAAGAACTAAGACCTTCAACAGATAAGGTCTAGGTTTAAACTCAAGAATTAGAGGTAAATGGTGGTAAGAAAGGGATGCAGCCAAGAAGATACATCAAGGCATAGAAATAATCCCAACCGAAAGAAATACTCTTTAAAATCACATTTAGAGTTTTGCAGTGAAGATGAGACACAGTGTTACAAGTCATCTCGAAGAATGCAAGAACTGGGACATTTCTTATCCCTTTAACACCGATGATACAGGCTGGGTGCGGTGGCTCATGCCTGTAACCCTAGCATTTTAGGAGACTGAAGTAGGTAAATCACCTGAGTTCAAGAGTTTAACACCAGCCTGAGCAAGAGGGAGACCCTGTCTCTACTAAAAATAGAAAAATTAGTGGGGCATTATGGTGAGTGCCTGCAGTCCCAGCTACTAGGGAGGCTGAGGCAAGAAGATCACTTGAGCCCAGGGGTTTGAGGTTACCATGAGCTATGATGATGCTATGGCACTCTACCCAGGGTGATAAAGTGAGACTCTGTCTTGGAAAATAACACAAAACGAAAACACCTGTGAAAAAGAATCTTTGGAGATCTAAATTACTGTTATAAATGGTCTTAATATCCAGCCAGTAGCAGAGTATAGTTGTTAAAGCTTGATTCACATGTAATCAAACATTTGTGTATCTTAAAAGACATACAACTTCCATTGAAATCCAAGTGACCGGCTCGGCGCCTATAGCTCAACCGGCTAAGGCGCCAGCCACGTACACCTTAGGTGGCGGGTTCGAATCCCCAGCCCGGACCCGCCAAACAACAATGACGGCTGCAACCAAAAAATGGCCAGGCGTTGTGGCGGGCGCCTGTAGTCCCAGCTACTTGGGAGGCGGAGGCAGGAGACTCGCTTGAGCCCAGGAGTTGGAGGTTGCTGTGAGCTGTAATGCCACGGCACTCTACCCAGGGGGACAGCTTGAGGCTCTGTCTCAAAAAAAAAAAAAAAAAAAAAAAAAAGAAATCCAAGTGACCTCCTATCCTAATGGGTAGAATGATTGATCCACATTTTAAAAGAAACTACAGAAAAGGAACGATAATTTTTGTTCATTTTTAACAGGCAACACCTGAGAGTCTGAGGAAAATATAGACAATGACCAAAGGGAAAAAAAAAGGTGGGAAATTTAAGAATAAGGATTTGTCCCTTTCCAAGTGTTCCTGGGGATTAAAAAGACCTCAGGATTTCTGTTTTACTAGACTTCAGCATAGAAGTTAGTGCCCAAGGATCATGATCACCCGGCAGATCAATAAACCAAGGTCATAAGAACATTTACACCCTTGATCCTCTTTAAAAGTAAAATTTCAAATATCTTATTTTCCAGGTTGTAGAAGTAAATTTGTAAATCCAGTCCCTTCATTTTTTAAACAGAAAAAATGAAGCCAAAAGGGGCGATTTAATATGCTTAAGCTGACACAGCTGATTAGTGACCAAATCCTGTCCTAACCCAGAATCCAGTCTCACTCCACCATATGCCTTCATTCTCTGCTTTCATAAATAAAGTGCATGGAGGAGGAGGGGGCAGAGGAGGAGGGGAGAAAACATACGCACCTTTCTTTTCAAATAACACAACGTCTCTCATCCTAATGACTGTAGATGACTTGCTGTTTTCAGCCATTACCACACATTGTTGCTCTTTGCTGTGATATTGGAATGACCTGCAGAAGAGATTTAGGAAATACAGTAAATATTTTTCCATATTTAAGGAAAGGAAATGTTTGTTAATGAGTAAGACACTCTCATCATTGTATCTCGGGATGAATGAGGGAGCTCAGAACTGCTGCCTTTTGGTCTGTTGGACACCGTCTCTGTAAAGCGCTGAGGATAACAGGGCGGCCTGGCAGTCACTCTTGTCCTGGTACACTTTACCTGCTCCTCCTCAGAATCTTCTCTTTCTGCTCAACTCCTTTACTCTTTCGTCACTCATTTCCTTCATGAATCCCAGAATATTTGTCTGTGTGTTGGAAAGAAGCAACTTGATTGCCCTAAACTTGTTCCCTAGTTGGTTGGTCTTTATGACTTCTGGACTCACCCTTGCCTCTTTGTCCCACCTGCCCCTTCCCTGCACACCCCTTCCCCGCACATCCCTTCCCCATCCACGTGGTCCTGCCATGGATGCTGTGCTTGGAATTCACCACTGTCCAAAGTGGCCTCTCCAACCTGAGGCCTCCATGAAGCCTGTGCTTCACCTGTCTATGCCTTGTCCCAGTCAGAAAGCACAGGGCCCTGCCTCTCTCCTGCCCAGGATGCCTCTCTGTTGTCTCCATGCTCCTACAGACCTCGCTCACCCTCAGAATTCAGCTCAGGGCCCCCCTCCTCCCTGCTGCTCAACCTTAGGAGTTGTTCCTGCCTCTAAGTCTGCTCAGAGCAGGCACCGAGGATGCCACATCCTAGTACCTCGCTCTGCCTCCCCATCCCCCCCTTCTTTACGTTGTTTGGAATGCCTTTGACCACACAACAAACATCAACGGGCGGGCACTGGACCTGGGGTCTATACTTCTTGCTCCCTCACATCTATCTAAGGCACTTTCATTCACATGATCTTTAATAAACTGGTGCTCAGAGAAACAGGTGCTAATGTTTATGCCGTGTATAAACACAAATTAATTCCTTTAGGGTATTTTTATAAAGGGGAAAAAATAAGCCTCAACAAGAAGCTGTTATTAATGGTTTCAGATGCTGTGAACAAAGGCAGTTCCAAACACTGATCCTGTAAGTTCCTCTTAAATGATGTTTTTGTTAATAAATCCATGAATAAATTACTTGCCATCAAAATAATAGATTTCTGATTCGGTGCAAGAACAGCAAAAATACCTGCACGTGAATTCTTTCTCCTCCTCACATTTGGCTGCACATTCCTCTGTGTTTCCTGTCCTGAGCTGCTTCTTGGTGACACTGAACAGAGACGCCCCCTGGGTGTTCACATAGTCATCCAGGGGATGTCCTTGACCTAAAGTGGAGGATAAAAGTGGAACAACTGATAAAATTAATCAACACTATTACTTACTTATCATGACTTTTTAATCTCTGCTTTATAGCAACCAAACAAAATAAAACATTGCTTTACTGGAATCAGAATAGGTAGCTATTAATAAAAATGTTTTGTCAGGGCTCGGCGCCTATAGCTCAACCGGCTAAGGCGCCAGCCACGTACACCTAAGGTGGCGGGTTCGAATCCCCAGCCCGGACCCGCCAAACAACAATGATGGCTGCAACCAAAAAATGGCCGGGCGTTGTGGCGGGCGCCTGTCGTCCCAGCTACTTGGGAGGCGGAGGCAGGAGACTCGCTTGAGCCCAGGAGTTGGAGGTTGCTGTGAGCTGTAATGCCACGGCACTCTGCCCAGGGGGACAGCTTGAGGCTCTGTCTCAAAAAAAAAAAAAAAAAAAAAATGTTTTGTCAGGAAAGCAGTTCCATTAACAGATTGAAAAACATTCAGAGATTAGCTACATTGACAATGCATTAGAACTATGGGACAATTTCTATCTTACTTAATTAGTGCGTAGAAAACCTTAAACAAGAATGAGCAATATCTGTTTGCTCTTTGTCGTGCCATGATCGCAGAGTAAACACCGTTAGTGGCCAGGATTGATGTTGGTTTCGTCACCCCAGGGAATAAAGGGAGCTTGAGGCCATTGCTTGATTTCCAAGAATCTGTTCTTTGATTCCTACACTGTCACTTTAACTGATGACAAGTGTTTTCTGAGTGGTTCCTCCTCAAGATACAAAAATTCAGGGGAGTTGATGATGCTGAGAATGAATAAGAACTGAACTAAATTATGGTGCCAACTCGGGCAAAAATTACTGGAGGGCAAGAATCTCCCCCCATGCAAGGTGACTGCTGAGCTGGTTCAGGACAGCAGCGCATCACTGTCAGTTACAGAGACGTCATCTTTTCCACCGTGCTGGCAGGTATCTGGCATTTCAGAGGCAATGGAAAAAAGCACAGCCTGGCACAAATCCTGGCCTTGATTCGTCTGTGAGATAAAACTGAGGCAGAGCCTGTCCCCAAGTTGCTTTCCCCCTTGTTACTGCAGATGGTGGCCACAGGGGGTCCATACGTGTTCCCAGCACGAGGCTTCACATGGCCCTCACTGAGCGCTGGCAGCCCTGGCCCAAGCCTGGATGAGCAGCTCCTGTGTGGGCACAGCACACTAGCGGTTGTCACAGGAGAAGCCAAAGGAGGTTGACAGAAAGCACAGCAGAGCATCCATGGGATTAGGCAACATGGTGACCTTGACCCCTTTGAGGGGAGTGGTGGGGGCCACACATGGATGGATGGGCTGTAGAGTGACCAGGGCGAGCAGCAGAAGGAAGATACCTCCCCTGGGAAGCCCAGCAGGAACAGGGCATGTCCTCCCGGGAATGTGCAGCCCTGAGAGCTTTTTAAGATGAGGCAGCCTGGAGCACATTTGCGTGCAATGAAATGATCCAGTCCGGGGCTCATTAAGGGTGAGATTCTCAGTCTCTCAAAGGCCCTTCCTGACCTCCTGAAAACATAAGCACTGTGGGGGGGTGGGGGGGCAGGGGTGCCGTCCACTCGTGAGCAAGTCCCCTGCCGTGTCCACGTGGCCTCTCCCTGCCCTGCTGTTTGCCCTTCCTCAGTTGTAGATGCTCTGAACTGTAAGGGGGATTACTGAACAGTAGTTGGCTGGTGCATTTTAAACTGAATACACAAAAAGCACTTGAGCAATGATCAAAAGATGATGGAGAAAGAGATATTTCAGACCCATATCCACGTCCTCACCCTGCATTTTCTTCCAATTTGAACTCTCATGTCAGAGAGTTCTGCTTTGGCAAATTCCATGCAGATCACAGTGTGACTTCAGAAACACACAATAAATTTATGAAGTGTGTCCTACAAAGAGTTAAACTCAACTTTTGAAGAGTTGTTGGCAGATGGAGCTGAGCAGCCTCCATACAAGTGATAATGAAAAAGAGAACATTTACATCTCTATCATCTTTTAATTAAATTACCTTTGATTGTGCCATATTATTATGTTTCTTAGGGGACCACTAAGACAACCTTAGAACCTGATGTCTCAAAGAAATAACTGCCCCCCAATATAATATTTTTTCTTTTTAATTTGAAAATATTCTCCAAATGCTTTTTTTTTCATTCACGTCTAGAACTCACACCTCAGTGGGCTTAAGGGATTTAATATGGTTTATTTGTGGAAAACAATTAAAGAAATACTTTAGTAAAAAAATGATTTTATATTATAACAAAATGTAGATGGATATTGCTACCAAGGCAGGTGTATTTTATTCATAATGAAGAATTTGTGATCACTGTAGTGTGTGTATGCGTACGTGACCTTGTAAGAGAGAAGAGTCCGTATCTGTGAAATGTGAGCTGTCAACCTCACACTGAGTACGGCTATAGCAGAAAGTCTTTCCTCTCCCCAGTCACGGCAGCACAGTGAAACATGAAAGTCACCTCCATGGAAAACCAGGGCGAATATGTTCTTTTTAATAAGGGCTGAGGAGAGACAATCCACCCCACCCGCAGGTTGGTTAAGATCACTGTTAATTCTATGGTGGATGCATGTGTTCTAACCTTTGGGTCTAGCCCACTGAGTGAGTTCATATTATTCCAGGTTTTAGTTTCCATGGACTGAGCTAAAATATTCACGCCCCCCTGCCTCAATGCACACAGCTATTTCCCACAGAAATGTCTTTGTGTAATCTCCTCCTGCTCTTTATTCTATTGGATATTTCTTCGAATGGCTTCCACTAAATTAAAATGTATTCGATTCTAAAGTATAACTTACAAAATTTTATCTGGCAATTTACAGGTTGAACTTCAAGTGTCCATACATTGCTTATACATATGAAGAAACACTAGAATAATTTAGGATTCTGTTTATATGGAATGTCCAAAATAGGCAAATTTTTAAACACAGAACAAAGTTCAGTGGCTGCAGGGGCTGCAGATTGGAACCGTTAAGGAGAGTAGAGTTTCATCTGGGGATAAGGAAAAGATTTTAAAACTTATTGTGGTGATGGTTGTACATCTCTGAATATATTACAAGTATGCCTTGAATGGGTGAATCGTATATGCGAATTATATCTTAATAAAGCTGTTTTTTTTTTTTCAAATAACTTGTAGGAAATGTTTAGAATTCCTTTTTTTCTTTTGAGATAAGGTCCTGCTGCATTTCATTGGTTACAGTGCCATGGTGCCATCACAGCTCCAAATCCTGGGCTCAAACAGTGCTCTCACCTGAGCTACCTGGGTAGCTGGGCCTACAGGTGCAAACCCCATGTTCACTTAATGTTTTCTTTACAACTTCTGGAGTGACAGGATCTCTCTGTGTTTCTCATGCTGGTTCTGAACTCCTGGCCGCAGGCAATTCTCTTGCCTCTCTCGCTCCTCCCAAGATGCTGGCATTACTGGCTAGACTGTCTTGTAAAAGGCTTCAACAAAGTTGAAAAAGTGATGAAAGCAGTCATCCTTCTTTTAAATCCTGGATGGATTTTTCACTTCCTTGATTGGGAAGTTTGGTCAATGGGTAAATGACATGATTTTCCTAAGTCTAGATTATTTTACCTTAAAATGACAATGAGTATACTACAATCTCTACTCCACCAGCTAAATAAGCAGTATTAGTAAAGGACGCACACACTCACACAAGTCTGTATCTGTCTAAAAATGTGCCTGGTCTAACCCCAGCACTAAACTAATATTTCAATTGCTATGTGCAGATGTCATTTGGCAAATTGATACATGTGATTTCTCCAGGCCTATGGAAAGCCTTTCTTAAGCCATAACAATGGAGAACTGCTGAGACCATCTCCATAAACTTGCCGAGGAAGAGAATATGCTCAAAGAGACACTCCACTGTGTAACTTTGGAGGTGAGGGGACTATGACACCTGAACAAAGGGGAGCCACATAGCAAGTAGTCAAACCGAGAATCAGGCCCAGAGGCTAACCGTCTTTTGTGTTGTTAACTATCTTGGTTATTTTGTGAACTAAACTAGCCATTTTGGGTCATTTAGCTTAAAAATCACCCATTATTTTCTCTGCCCATTCAGCCCAGCACCCTGATGATATTCACAGGGAAGTTAAACATATTTCTTTCTTTTTTTTTTTTCTTTTGGCCAGGGCTGGGTTTGAACCTACCACCTCTGGCGTGTGGGGCTGGCACCCAACTCCTTAAGCCACAGGCACCGCCCAAACATATTTCTTAAGTAATTTCTCAGTATGAGATTTTGGACTGATTATGTCATGAAATAAAAGGTAAATGAAACAAATTGCACATAAAGCCATAGTGTATCTACTATTAATATGTCACAGGGAAAATAATTATGAAAGTTAAAAGGAACTTCAAGTCTTACCTGATTTCAGAAATAAAAGAAGCAGAAGAACCAGCTCCGTACCCTCCATGTTGGGACTGGCCAGCAGTGACCAGAAGACAGTGTGTCTCAATCCCAGGGTGGTACTGATTTACATAATAGCAAACATGTCCACAAACAGGACACTTGGATTCAGTTAATTATTCTCTAGGAGACCGAGGCCACTGTACTCAGAAGGGATCAACACCTCAAACATTACCTGGATAAAGGAGCTTACAAAAGGTTCAGAGCGGGATCTCCAATAGATGCTGGGAAATGGGGAGAGCGCCTCCCCAGCCCACGTGGCTGCCCCCTCCGCCTCCCTTTCTCCAGATTCCTCGCCTTACCCCTTTAGTCTCTTTTCCTTCCCTGCTCTTTCATCCCCTTCTTGTGGATAAAATAAAACCACACAAGTAGCTCACACTAGCTGAGCACCTTCCACGTGCCAGGTGGTGTCCAGCCACACCAGCTCTGTCAGTCTGCACCACAGGCAGTACTGTGACCGTCCCTGTCCTGGGATGAGGGCTTGAGGCCTGTCCCAGGAATGTGTGGCTGACCAGGCAGACAGCTGATAGACGCAAACTAGGTGGCCCTTGATTACAAGCTGAAGGCAGGCATCATTGTTAACTTTCTACTATACAGTGTAGAAATTAGCGTAAATGAAAGTATTTTCTCACTATCAAATTACTTAATTCCCATCAGACTCACCTGTTTTCCATAATTATAAAGTATGTTATAATGTGTTCAGTCTTTCCCCTAAACAAACTCACAGTGCATTATTATATTTTCATTCTCATGAAAGAAAGCCAGGAGTAACAGAATTAAGTGAACAGAGCTCGTAGTCAGTCCGATTGTTGAATCTGATTTCAGGCTGTAGTGACCAGGTAGTAGCAGGTGCTGACCTGTACTAGTGACCAGGTGGTTTCAGACTCCTATTATAATGTTCAAACTTTTTTGGGAAAAGTTAAACTGACCTTTCTATTTTAGACATGAAATAAAGACAAGAAAGCATTCATTTCTCTCTCTGGGCTATGAAATTCCTTCCTATAAATAAATTTGGCAGAGGTGGAAGCCGGATTTCCTTGGGTGGACCGCCCACGGAATCTTCTGGGATTGAGCTATGTTGAATCCTCAAGAACAACTTGTTTCTGAGGACAAGAGGGTGGCGCCATGGCAGGGGCAGGGGCGACCCAATCACATTGTCCTGATTTCTGTCTCAGCCTGACTTTCTTCTCTCCTCAAACTCCTACCCCGCCTTGGTCTCTCTCTCTCTCACGAGTGGCAGGTGTGGAAGGGACACAAGGTGGAAGCAAGTGGAGAAACTGGCAGGGGGCAGAATTTTCTTTTCTTGAAAAATTGTGAAATGGCTTTTAGTTTAGGGGACCAATGTTGGTGGATTTGAGAATGTACTTTGGGGAAAGAAAGACAGATTCTACTAATATATAATCTTCCTAGTATGTGTTTATTTCCATGTAAAATACTATTAATATTTTAGCACCTCCTCCTGGATAAGTCACCTCAGGAATGAGATTATCAAAAATTCTATGTCCACACGATTTTCCCTTTTCCTGCTATTTTTGGTTTTGATCTGGGTGGTGATGAGATAACTTTTGCGCACTCCTTCCCTAGTCTCTGTAGAACGCACTGGAGTCTAAGGGGCTATTTTGCAAAGCAGGTTCCCCCCAGTGGCCTTCTGACCATACGTTCTTCTTCACCCTGACAACACACCAGCATGATGAAAGACAAGAAATCATTCACTTTTCTTCCTGGGCGATGCATGGCCTACAGACATATGAAAAAATGCTTACCATCATTAATCATCAGAGAAATGCAAATCAAAATTACTTTGAGATACCATCTAATACCAGTAAGATTAACCCATATCACAAAATCCCCAAATTACAGATGCTGGCAGGGATGTGGAGAAAAGGGAACACTTCTACACTGCTGGTGGGATTGCAAACTAATACGTCCCTTTTGGAAAGACATCTGGAGAACACTTAGAGAACTAAAAATAGACCTGCCATTTGATCTTATAATTCCTCTGCTAGGTATATATCAAAAAGACCAAAAATCACATTACAATACAGATATCTATAACAGGATGTTCATTGCAGCCCAATTCACAATTGCCAGGTCATGGAAGAAGCCCAAGTGCCCATCGACCCATGAATGGATCAATAACCTGTGGTATATGTACACCATGGAATACTATGCAGCCATAAAGAAAGATGGAGACTTTACATCCTTCATGTTCACATGGATGGAACTGGAAAATGTTCTTCTTAGCAAAGTATCTCAAGAATGGAAGAAAAAGTATCCAATATACTCAACCCTACTATGAAGCTTCTAGTTAGCTATCACAGGAAAGCTGTAACCCAAGTTAAGCCCAAGAATATGGGGAAAGGGGAGAAGAAGGGGAGGGGAGAGGGAGGATGGGTGAAGGGAGGGGTAATGTTGGGATCATGTCTGTGATCTATCCTATAAGGGTATATGTGAATCTCTCTAAATGTGGAATATAAATGTCTTAACACAATGACTATGAGAATGACATGAAGGCTATGTTGGCCAATTGGATGAGAATGTTTCAAATTGTATATGGAAACAACATACTGTACCCCATGATAGTATTAATGTGCACAACTATGATTTAATAAAAAAAAGAAAGAAAGAAATTCCTTCCTATAAATAAACTGGCAATGTACAGAGGTGGAAGCCAAAGACGAACTTTAAGCAGAGTTCTGTCCTGGTGCCACCCGATTCTGGAGCACGTGGGGAGAAGAGCAAAGATGAACCCATTGCTCGGGAACAGCTGGGCTGCTGGCACAGAGGCATGGGCTGTGGCTCGGCCCTACTTGGCTTAGCTTCAGAGGCACAGGGCATAAAGCAAGGGACTATTCTTAAATGTGCATAAAAATCCCACCCTGTGCTGTTGGAAGGATTTTCGTCTATGGCTCTAAAGACAGTTAATTCAGAATAAATCACTTTGTGCCTGAAAGAGTGGTGGAACCAAGAAAAGAGATGTAGAAAAACATATCATCTCTGTGCTAAATATCAGGCTGCGTGAACTGTAAGATCTTGGTTTTGATATTTAGTTCACTTCTTTAAGTATTTATTGTGTACGGATTGTTTTAGGTACTTTTAGGATTATGGGTGATGTTTTGAACAATGTGGGGGTTAGGGGCCCCCCAGACAGTCCAAAATCCCCATGTAACTTTTGACTCCTCCAAAACTTACTTCCTGATGTTAATTGTTGGCTGAAGCTTTACAGACAATATAAAGTCAGCGCGCTTGTATTTTGTGTGTTATCTGTAGCACATTATTACAGTAAAGTTAGCTAGAGATGAGAAAATGTTATTTAAAACCCAGGGGGAAGAGCAAACACACTGACAGCACTGTGCTGTGTGGTCGGTCTGGTGAGTCAGCGTCATCACTGCGCGGCACGGGGGAGTTGTCTGTCTGAAGGGGGCACCTGCAGACGCGGGCGTTAGTCCACAGGCCATAGATGGCAACGTCAGGACTCTTCTCTGCTTCTTGGGCCACGCTAGCATCACTAGCAACTCTTCACTGGTGCCCCTGGGTGCTACTCAAGGTTTACAGTATTGCACTGAACACAAGAAATGTCTAAGAACCACAAGAGGTGGCACTGCACTTCCACCCACCGGCACTGGACAGATGAACTGCTGACACTGGGATGACGAGTGTCACACAACATTTTAAGCAGATACCCCCAACCTTGAGCTTCCCACGCCTGCGGCAGGAGGTGGCTAGGCAATTGCCCCGGTAGTGCAGCCTGCAACACAGTTGATCCTGTGCAGTTTGACTTCAGCTGCATCTTTACTTTTGCTTACATGTCTCTTGACTGCATACGGCACCACGTGTGGTCCAAAGTGTTTGTGCACATAGCTGTTGGTCACTTCTACTTTGTACAGTAGGTTTGTGCATATTTTATGGTAGTAAATGATAAGATAGACTGTTATCTACGTATGTTTCGTCTATTTGTGACATACCTAGCTTTTTCTGGCTTCTTATGATATTTCTGGACTCCACGTTTTATCTTTGAGTGTTCTCAAATTATGAATCTTCAAAAAAATTTCCAACACATTTACTGGAAGAAAAACACCTGTACATTAGTGTATGTGCTCAGTTCAAATGTATGCTGTTCAAAGGTCAGCTGTTTATTTTCATGAGACAAATCACAGTCCCTACCCCCACCCAGCATTTTCACTAAATGTACCAGGAAATTGTTGCATATCAGATTTATGGAGATTCTGTTACTGCACTTGGAACCGGGAATGAGGACACTCAGATAAGATGGGAGACAGCTCTAACCTCCTTAGCTCTGCCCAACGGGAGGCCTGCATCCAAGATCCACTCAGGTTCTCTTAGGAAGGAAAGCATCAGCCAGTCTCTCCCAGCATTAGAGAGGAAAGTTGCTTCTAAGTACCTTATAAAGAAAAGTCATAGACACAAGGAAAGGCCAGCCTCAGCAGGAAAATGAGGTCAAGTTCACCCCACAGTCTCAATGACATGGAGCTGTGGCCAGGGCACAACTTCCCAGGTGATGTGCCTGCCTTTTCCACCTGCCAGCTCCTTCCTGCATCTGCTTTCCATCTTTCAGCAACCCAGACTCTGCCATTCTAGGACAGCTCATTATGTCACCATGAATATCACTGAATAGTCCCAATATCACCACATCATTGAAATAGCAACACAATTAATCTATTAGGGACCTGCACAAAGCGTCCCTTTGTTGCTATAAGGGTTCTTGGCAAGCTTATCTGTCTGTGCCCTCGAGGCCAATTCACAGGTGGCTTTTCCTGCGGTTTTTAGTTAATTATGGCACAGCACCTCAAAGACATATTCTAATTAATCTGGAGGTGGCTTTTGTTTCTTAGTTGGCTTTCTTCGTATTAGTTAGGTTCTGCTCACCTGTGCTGGGATCCTGTAATGAGATGTTATTGGTTCTTGGCTCCAGAAGAAATAGCAGCTACTTGGTGAACAGACCAGACAAAATGCAACTAGGGGACCTGATGTAGTCACTCGGGGCCCAGCAAGGTGACATTTTCTTAATTGACTTGCTCCTGAAGAAGCAGAGATGTCTGTTCATCTT